TGTGTGTGTGTGTGTGTGTGTGTGTGTGTGTATGTGTGTGCGCGCGCGTGCTCACTTGCCTCTGAGTTGGATTCCTGGGACCCACAGCAAAAGGAGCGGACTGGCTCCCGCGTGCCGCCATCACAAACACAGTAACAATGACAGATGTTAAAAGGCATTGCAGGGTGCGAAACAACCCCTCCAGTGCCTTTTTCCGGGATGCGCTCCCGAGGTGAGGTGTCATTCATACCCCAAGTGGCAGGCAAGGTAACGGGTTCAAGGAGGCTCAAGCCACTCTCCCAGCACGGCTTCCAGGTGGGCAGACCCCGATGTCTGGCAGCTGCGTTTTGGTCCCCTGGCTTCCTGCCCCAGGGCGCCGGGACAGCGCCGGTGGGTGGCTGAGTCCACAGAATAACAGGAGAAACGGGAGTTCCTGGCCTGCAGCCCTGCAGCAGCGTGAGAGAGCAGCTGACTCTCTCTCTTGCCTGGCTGCTCCCGGGGCTTCAGGCTGAGGCTGCACCTGTACCCCACTGAGGAAGGACACCCCACTCCCCAGCCTGCCTGCCCATCCCAACCTGACCCACACTAATCTCGGCTCTCCTGCAAGATCTTCGGCAATACTGGGAGATGGAGGGATTGCAGGAAGGACTTGGGGTCTTCTTTGGGGTGGTGAAAAATGTCCTCGAGGCTTCTGAGCAGAGGGCTAGGAAGGTATGGGGTGTGGGCTTCATGCTCACTATAAGGTTAGGAGGGCTGTGATCTCAGCTGCTCAGGAGGCTGAGGCAGGAGCGCTGTGAGTTTAAACTAGCTTCGGTTACTCAGTGAGTTCACTCTGTCAGCTGACACCCAGTCTCACATTGATGTCCAGGCAGCGATGGTCGTGTCCACGAATGGATGAGGGTGGTAAGGCCCACCCACATACTGGAATATCATGCAGCCTTGAACAGGAGCAAGATTCTGCAGCCACAGCATGGAGGGCCCATAGGACATGGTGCTCAATGAGAAGACCCAGATGCAAAAGGCCATGACAGGAAGTGTCCAGAGCAGAGCAATTCGGAGACAAGAAGTTTGTGGGTGCTGGTGACTGTGAGTGCCGAGCTCACACTGAATGGCAACGGAGCCTGAGGATGGGGGATGGGAAGACTGGAGACAAACTGTGGGGACAATTCCACCAACTGTGGATGAGCTTCACGTCGCTGAGCCAAGCACTAAAAAGAAAGAAACACTCAAGCAGCCCAGGCTGGCCTTGAACTCCTAATCCTCCCTCCAGTCTCGTCGTCCTGAGTGCTGATGGATGGCAGGTGTGGCAAAACCTGGCCACCTTCCCTGAGCACCTGCGGCCATGGCCTTAGGCGTCACCTTCGCCCTGGCTGCCCACCCCCAGCACCCCAATCTGCAGCGTCCCCAGGCCCAGCCCCCATTCCTCTCATCCCTGTCATTTTGCTGAGCTGGGAGAAACTCCTGAGGCTCAGCAGATTTCTCTGGAGAAGTCTTGGGAAGCGATGCTCAAAATACGTGCTGCAGGTGAGGGGGTGACTCTGAGACTCCCCAGAGGCCCTCGAGGTGGCCGGGCCTCCCAACCACATGACTGAGGAACCGCTTCTCGTCCCTCTCCGCGTGGCTGCCCCCGTGATTCCTCAGCCGCTCACAGTCCCCAGAGACAGAGCAGCCAGCCCAGGAGTAAACGTCCATCCCAGCACTCCAGACGCCCCACGTGACCCCCGAGGGGGCGTGCTGCCTGCCTGGGAAGTGGCTTTAGCTGCGGCGGTGGAGGCAGCCTGACAGCACCGACCCCTCCCTCCCAGTCTCACTTGGAGCCTCGGGTGCCAATCTAGAGAACCAGGCCGAAGATGGCTGGCCCTGGGGACCACTGAGGCCCCAGCCCAAACAGGGATTCTGAGAACTGTCTCCCAGAAAGAGAGGACCAGAGGGAGGCCTCGCCCTGAATCCGACCCCACTGGCCCAGGATGTAAACCCGTCTCAGATAGCCCAGGGAGCTCTTGAAGGTCTGCAGGCGTGGCTGAGGTGCGGCGAGGCTCCCCTGTCCTTCCACACCCCCTCCCATCCCTCCTCTCTCTTACTGCAGTCTTCTGTGAGTACCCGCATCCACAGCAAGCCTAGCCCACCCCAGGACCTTGGCACACAGTCTCACATCTCCACCCAGCACGCTTGGCATAGACCTTTCCAGGACAACCCGGTATCCGTACATAGATGCCATCACATGGCTGCCCCATCCACATGCTGGAATGCCATACAGCCATAACTGGGGTGAGGCTCTGGCACAAGCCCTGGATGGAGGGTCAAGAACATAATTGCTAGCCAGGCAGCAGAGGAGGAGGAAGAGGAGGAGGAGGAGGCCTAGGAGGCGGCTGGCGGTGGAGGCGCACACCTTTAATCCCAACACTTGGGAGGTGGAAGCAGGAGGATGTCTGTGGGTTTGAGGCCAGCCTGGTCTACAGAGTGAGTTCCAGGACAGCCAGGGCTACACAGGGAAACTGTCTCAAAACAAACAAAGAACACAATTCCTATTGCTGACTGGGTCTACCTGGAGTTTTTCTTAAGTTTTAGAGTTTTTTATTACATTTTAATTACATGTGTATCTGGATACGAATCTGTGCTTACAGTCCCCTCTGAATGCCCCAGAGCTGGAGTTATGGGCAGTTGTGAGCTACACAACAGGGGGACTGGGAACTGGACTCGTGTCCTCTGTAGGAGCGGGGAAGCTTTTTGAGCTGTCTGTCCAATGGGTCCCTGTTTGTGCGGGCTTTTTCTCTTATTCTTTGTTGTTTGTTTGTTTTTAAGACAGGGTCTCTCTGTGTAGCCCTGGCTGTCCTGGAACTCACTCTGTGGAACAGGCTGGCCTTGAACTCCCAGAGATCTGCCTGCCTCTGCCTCCCGAGTGCTGGGATTCGAGGCATGCACCACCACGGCCTGCCCAGACTCTTCTTCATGGAACGTATTTGCCCTCAGAGTGGGTTCTACCTGCAGCTTCAAGGTCTCGTAGGTTGCTGTGCTGTTTCCTGCTCCAGGGCCTGCCTGTGTCGGCTATGTTCCTGCTGACAGAGTCTGTGTCCTCAGGGGACCTGAGTCCTTGGTGCCACAGACCAGAAGTGGGACTCCTGCAGCAGAGGCCCCTCCCCTCATCCTTTCTCTTGCCAGACATGACATTGACCTCTGAACAGAGACATTGATCGACCTGCCGAGCAGGGTGCTGTGTGGACGTCGGAACTGGCCGGGCTTCTGCAGTAGCGATCCGTTTTTGTCTGCGTGGGTCTTTTTGCTAATGGCAGGGAAACAGCTGAGTGTCAGTGGACATGGGAGGCGGGGAATGGGGATAGCAGGAGAAGAAAGGGAATGAGCTAGGCACGGTGGCACGCCCCAAAACTCAGGCAGTAGAGGCGGGGCGATCCAAAGTTTAGGGTCAGGGTCATCCTTCACTACAGAAGGAGTTCAAATCCAGCCCGGGCTACCCCTAGCACCCCGGCACAGGGTGACCTAGACAGTTTGGGTCCTGGTTCAGTCTCCTCATCCCTGCACAATGGGGCATCTGGGAGCTCCAGAGAGGCACAGAGTCTGGGCAGCAGTGAGCGGTCCCCAGTGTTGTTGGGAGGCGGTAGGGAACATCCTAGCACCCAGGCCGCACGGCCTCAGGGACCTCAGGCGCCAGGGCACCACGAGGCTCAGGTGTCAACAGGCCTGTCCGGAGCCCAGGCCGGCCTGGAACTCAGTCTGTCTGGAGTCAGTGACGACTTAGAACCCCTTATCCATGCCTCGCTCCCCCCCCCCCCCCCGGGTTCTGAGGTGTCAGGTCGCTCTGTTAAGAGCTTTGCAAGCACTTAGCAGGTGGCTGTGCCAAATAAGCCACGCTCTTGTTTTGCTGGGACGGGGTTTCATGTGCCCAGGCTGGCTCAAACACCCTATGTAGCTGAGGATTGCCTCAAACTCCTGATCCTCCTGCCTCCACGTGTCCGTTTGCCAGGATGACAAGTGTGTGTGGCCACGCCCACTCGTACCCTCTTGGTAAACGCTGAAGTGCCTGAGACAAGCGCAGTCCGTTCGGCACATCAGCCCAGGGCCCTGGCCATACAGAGGGCCAAGGCCCCCGCTACGCCCTGTCCCCTGCCACCATCCCATCCTGGCACCAGCCTCGGAGAGTAGGTCCTAGAAGAAGCTCGTCCTAGGGTGCGGACCTGCGCTGTCCCCAGCAGGCTGCGGTCACGGGGAGCCGTTTGCTAACGAAGCTCCGCAGAGCCGCTGCCCCCTCTGCTGGCAGGACGCGGGACTGCAGGAGGCGCGCCCAGGGCCGGCTGTGCGCGCAGCACGCGCTCCTGCAGGGCTCCGCGCCTGCGGCGAGCCTGCTTTCCCGCCACAGAGACTGCTGTAGCGACTCCGAGGGAAGAGCGGTGCCCACCGGGCACACCCTCTTCAGGGCACAGCGCCTACTGTAGGCAGTGGCTGCTGAGCAGAGCGCCTGCTGCATACTGTCCCTGTAAGGGAGAGGGCCTGTTTGTATGTGCACCATGCCAGGCACAATGCCGGCTGTATGCGCACCCTGCAAGACCCTGCTCCCTGTATCCATGTATTACGGAGGGCACGGCGCCTACTGTATACCTCCCCTCCGTGCCTGCCCTAGTACGCACTCCTTGCGGAGGCTAGCACCCGCTGCACATTTTCCGCCGTAAATCTGTGTCTGCTGTGTGCCCTCCACGCAGAGCACGTGCCTACTGTATACCATCCCAGCAAAAACAGGGTGCCTGCTGCAGGGACCCCCAGACCCACTTCGTCTTTGCTGAGGGCCCTTCGTTTCCCAGCAGGACTATGGGATTGTTCCTAGTTCTCGGACCGACCCTGGCTTGACCTGTTCTCTCCCTGGCTCTTGTAGAGGTTGCCTGTTCACGAGGGGTCCTTCTGATGTCCGCGCCAGGCCTTACACCTTCTCTTCAGTCAGATGACGGGCATCAGAAGCTGGGCGGATGCCCCGAGCAGCCTCCTCCCCACGCTGGGACTGGCCGCTCTGCCCACCGATACTTGCGCACAGCGGCTCGAGAAGTGGCACTGAGTGGCTGTGATCTGAGATGCTTCCCTTGCTAGCCCCTGGACGGCAGACTGTCCCGAAGCAGGTGTATACAGCAGGCACTCTGTGCCCTGCGTGGAGTAATTACTTCAGGCATTGTGCCCTGCGAGGAAAGCGTCAGCCGACCGGGGTCAGCCAGGTGGGCTTCCTAGAGGAGGAAAGTTCAGCACCCAGGAACAGCTAAGGCTCGCACAGGACCGGTCATCTCAGTGCCACGACCTTCCTCCCGGCTGCCAGGGGGCGCTACGGACGGGGTCGGAGTGTCCAAAAAAAGCTTGGCCAGGGTCCTGGAGAGATGGTGCCGAGGTTAAGAGCACTGGCTGCTCTTCCAGAGGTCCTGAGTTCAATTCCCAGCAAACACATGGTGACTCACAACCATCTCTAGTGAGATCCGGTGCCCTCTTCTGTACATGCACACAGAACAGTGTACCTGGCATGGGGAAACTGAGGCGGAGGGCTTGAGGCCAGAACCAGGCAACAGAAGCCGCCCTGGAGCTTAGGCCTGAAGGGCGGGACCGGGTGGAGCATTGGTGACGGCAGCGCTCCGGAATGCGCGGCAGGGAGGGTCCCTCCGCCCCCAACGGGCGTGCGGGGCCTCGTGAGGGGGTGCTGGGGACCCGGGTGGGGAGTCCGGTTACGGAGGAGAGACACGGATCAGGCTGGGGAGTGCCGGTTGCAGGGGCGGTGGAGACCGAGTTGGGATCCCTGGGATTGTCGGGATAGGGCAAGAGCCTGGGTTGAGCGGGTGAGGAGGACGAGGTTAGGGAGCCTGGCTGCTAGGTGATACGGAGCAGGACGGGGTACTCAGGATGGGAGGGTGCGCTGGTGCGCCCTACCCCACCCCACATCCTCGCTCTGCGCGCGTTTCCCCGCCCTGAGAGCGGCGCCCGGAATAGCAGCCCGGTCACCCCCGCGCCCCGCCCCGCAGCTGGACCTCCCAAGGTCATTGGCACCCAGGATACCAGGACCAACGCCGGGCGCCCAGCTCTGCCAGACGCAGGTCAGTCCCCTGCCGCAGCTCCAGGCCCAACGCATGCGCCCCTTCCCGCCGCACGAGGGCGCCCCCGGCCTGCGCCCTCGGTGACCCCAGCCTGGGCGCGCCTGGGAGGCCGGGGTGGGAGGGACCGACTGAGTTTCCAGTCCCGCACCTCGGGGCTGCGCCGCTTCCGCCAGTCCCTGGGGCTTCCCAGAGTAGCCTGGACGCACCGCCTTGGGCTCTGAGCAGCTGGTAAGTCCCTCTCCTCATCCTGCCACTATCCCGCTGGTGTGGAGCGAAAGCAGTGATCCTTAGGATGGTAGAGTTTGGGGGTCGCGCTTCCTCTGGGGTGGAAATGAAACTCAGAGGACTGGTTTGCCTGGTGACTGGAAAGTGCTTTGACAGGCATGGGTAGGAGGCCCCCCACAATTGGGGTTGGGGGATAGCCAAGTCCCCTCCCCCTCCTCTCTTCCTTCCCGGGCCAGCGCAGCCTCTGGGGCCGCAGAGGGAGGGGGTCCAGCGGATGTCTCAGGTCCCGAGGAGTCCTAAAGGGTAGAATGACAACCGGGGAGACCCTGGCTCCGGTCACGCTGGGGGACCCTGGCCTTGCCCCCTCTTCAGGTATCCGGAGCCTGGCTGGGCTGCAGGACTTTGAGCGCCCGTGTGCCCTTCAGAGCGCCTGGCCCGGGCCCCAGGCGCTTTGGTTCCCTGTCCTCCTGGCTTGTGCTGCGGGCCAGGATCACGAGGAGGGTGTGGGCCGAGAATGACTTCATCTGGTCCCTGCAGATGGGGAAACTGAGGCCTCCACTCAGCCCCACCCTGCTCCTTTTCTCTGCAGACCCGCCGGGCACCTCAGCCTACACCCTGGCAGATGTGGCCATGACGCACGCGCTGGAAGGAGGCCAGGTCAGCCTTCCCCGCGCCTGCCACAGGGGGATCCCCTTAGGCTGTGAATGGGGTGCGGAGGGCCCCCAGAGGCTGCGGTGCAGCTTGGAGGGGATCACTGATTCTCTCCAGAGCTTTGGAAGGAGCCCCCACTGGCTCTCCCTTCCACAGGGTCTCAGAGACTCATGGACTGAGTCCTGCGGGCTTTCACTGCACAGATGGAGAAACGGAATGGTTGTCTCCTGGCAACCCGGGAAGGTAGAGGAAAGGGGTGAATAAATTTGCGGCCACCAAAATGCTATCCTTTAAAGGAGTCCCTCAGTCCTTGTCATTAGGTGTGCTTTTACAGAAGAACACACTGCCAATAATACTAAGAGCAGATTAAGCTGGGTGCATGGCGGCCCAGGCCTGTGAACCCTGACCCAGGAGGCTGAGGCTCGGGGATGTCCCAGAATTTGAGCCTAACCTGAGCACAGATCAAGACCCTGTTTCAAAAATCAAACAAACAAACAAAAAACAGCAGCAGCTGCCAGGCCCTACGGCAAAGGCAAATGCGTAGCAACCTCTACTGTCCCTGAACTAGGAGAGGAAGGAAGGTCATGAGTTCAAGGTAATACTCAGCCACTTAAGAAGTTTAAGATCAGCCTGGGCTAGGAGACCCAGTCTCAATAAATAAATAAATAACAGTGGCCCACGCCTTTAATCCCAGCACTTGGGGTGCAGAGGCAGTCAGATTTCTGTGAGTTAGAGACCAGCCTGGTCTACACAGGGAGTTCCCGGCTAGCCCGGGCTACAGAGTGAGGCAGTGTCTCAAATAAACAAACGGGGAGCTAGAGAGCTGCTCAGGGTTCAGGGTCTCCTCCTGCCCTTTCAGGGAATCCCCAAGCGAGTGGTCCCCAGCACCCATGCCGGGTTGCTAACAACTGTGACTCAGCTCAGCTAGGAGTTGATGCTTCTATGTGTGTGCGTAAATGTATATTTATACATATTTTATATATGTACGACTTTTTGAGACAAAGTTTCCCTGTGTAGCCCTGGAACTCTGACTGTGGTGCAGGCTGGCCTAGAACACAGAGATCCGCCCGCCTCTGCCTCCCGAGTGCTGGGATTAAAGGAGAGAGTATCTTTCTAAAAATAAACTTTGAATAAACAACAACACATAATGTTCCTAGTCCCCCAACTATGTGCCTGACCTGAGCCAATACCCCACCAAAGGCTTTCCGGGAGGGGGCGGGGCTGCTGTTACCTCATCTCTTTTTAGAGACGAGAGGGCACCGAGAGGTTTAGCCACGACTGGAGATCACACAGCCAGCCAGGGCTGAGATGGCAGTCTGCCCTGGTCCCGCTGACCACCGCCTCCTGGGACCCCCGTGCTCCCCCAGAGCACACGTCTTCCTGCCTCTTCTGTTCTTCCTGTGGACCCTCCTGAGCTGCGGTTTGAGGGGTGCTGCTCAGGTAGGAGGGTGAAGGGGCTCCGGAAGCACGTGGGACGCTCTCCTCCGGGCTGACCGTCCTCTCTGTCCTCAAGTAGGGTCCAGGGGAGTGGACGCCCTGGGGGTCGTGGAGCCGGTGTTCCAGCTCGTGCGGCCGGGGCGTCTCGGTGCGCAGCCGCCGCTGCGTCCGGTGAGCGGGGAGCCCCCCCCCGTCCGCGGGCGCGCCCTCGGCCTGCCCACACACGCAGCCCAGCATGCCCTTTAATCCCACGGAGCCGGCTGGAATGCGGGTGGGGCTGGCGGGGGCGGAGCGGGTGATAGGAAGGGGTGGGGGGGGGGTCCTGCGACACTCGGGCCACCCCGTTTCTCTGCAGACTTCCCGGGGAGGAGCCTTGCTGGGGGGACAGCCACGAATACCGCCTGTGTCAGCTGCTGGTAGGCGCCCCCCAGCGTGCCCTGCGCCCTCCTGCTTGGCCACGCCCACCTGAATACCCCTCCTGGGTTCGCCCCGTCTCAGCCACCCACCGCTCTCCTCTCCCAGGACTGCCCCCTGGGCACCATGCCCTTCCGGGACCTGCAGTGTGCTCTCTACAATGGCCACCCTGTCCTGGGCACCCAGAACACCTACCGATGGGTGCCCTTCCATGGCGGTGAGTGTGGCCTCCTGGGGTTAAAAGGAGAAAGAGGACCTCGAAAGGAGTTAATAGCCTGTTGGGATGGGGTGTTAAAGCATAGGTAGGAGTCGGTGGAGGACGAAGCCGGCCCTTTTCCACAGGGTCAAACTCCAGGCTGGGAACTGACTTGGAGTTTTATCCAGAGGCCAACAGTTTTCAAACTGATCCCACTAACAGGAAATGTTGTCGCACGGAGCTGAAAATAGCAGCTTATATAACTGGGTGCCCCGGGCAGCCCGGCTCCAGATTGAAGGGAGACAGGCAGCTTCAGCCGCGGGCAGGGGACAGAGAAGGCCAGCCCAGAGCTCAGAGCATTCCATCACAGGGTCCCCCAGGCTGGCCTTGTCCCCAGCAGGATCCGCCAGCCAGCCTGCCTCCAAGCGGCCGGGGTAAAGGCTGTGCGCCCGTGGGTCTCACGCGACAGGCAGGGGAAACTGAGGCACGCTGCAGGCCAGTGGTACACTCAGGCTCCAGGTTTACTGAACCAGAACTGGAAAGCAGTTTTATTGGGCCTGGATGGGGAGGTCGGGGCCTGGAGGGTGTCGGAGGTGTAGCCTGGAAGAGACAGGAGTGGAGAGATGGGCAGCCCGGCTCGTTGGCACGCTCTTGTAATCCCAGCACTCGAGGAACCAGAGGCAGGAGGATCTCAGAGTTCGAGGCCAGCCTGGTCTACACAGGGCGTTCTAGGCCAGCCAGGGATGTGCAGAGAAGCCCTGTCTCCAGGAAGGAAGAGAGCGAGCCAGCGCAAGCACGGCCTGGAGAGGGGAGGATGGCAGGGGTCCCCGAGGAGGGAAGAGCCGGGAGGTCCTGGGCAGGGCTGGCATGTGTAGGGGTTTAGGCCCGGCCTGAGCTGCAGTGAGCTGAGCACAGGGGCGGAAGACCCGGACTTACCACTCCACCCGCCCTCAGCGCCCAACCTGTGTGACCTCAACTGCCTGGCTGAGGGCCACGCCTTCTACCACAGCTTCGGCCGCGTGCTGGATGGCACCCCCTGCACCCCGGGGGCCCAGGGTCTCTGCGTGGCGGGCCGCTGTCTGGTGAGAACCCTGCCCCATCACGCTTATTCCCCCGCAGACCCCCCTGCCGTGACATACGGGGGGGGTGCCCTTCAAACTGCATCCACTGACATCAGTGTCCCACAGACCACGCTCCACCCGCCGTCCAGGCCCCGAGCACGGCTGGGGCTTCGAGGCCCCGCCCACTTGGCTCTAGGCCCCACCCACCCTCGCACAGGCCGCTCGTGGCTCCTCCCACAGGCTTTCCTCTCCGCCCAGGCTCAACCAGACGAAGTTTTCCAGGTTCTAAACACCCTTTAGGCCCCGCCCACCCCGACTCAGTGTCCCTTCTCCCCCGGCAGAGCGCCGGCTGTGACGGGCTTCTGGGCTCCGGCACCCTCGAGGACCGCTGTGGCCTCTGTGGGGGTGCCAACGACTCCTGCCTGTTCGTGCAGCGCGTTTTCCGCGACGCCGGTGACTGCCCCGTCCCGCCCCAGCGCATGCGCTTGACGAGCACCGCGGAGAGGCGTGTTCCTTTAAGGAGGCTGGCGGCCAGGAGCCGAAGCCCTCGCTGATTGGCCAGGCTCAGGCCCCGCCCCTCGAGCCCTTCCTCTTGATTGGCCTCCGGCGGAGCGTTCCGCCCTCCCTCGAAGAGAAGCGGTTTTTAACCCCTTCCTCGCCCTGCCCCCAGCGGCGTCTCACGTAATCCGCAGCCGTCTGTCCCTGCGCACATTAGCGCACCCAAAGCGCGCCTCGCCACCAGAGCCCCAGAGCTCTCCTCCCCCGCGCACCCCAGAGCGGCTCTCGCCCGTGTCTCCCAGCGCATCCCTTCCCCGGGTACCCCGCGCGCGCGCCGGTGCATCCCAGACAGCCCGGCCGCGCCACACCCCAACCTCCCGCCTGCCTCAGGTGCCTTCGCCGGCTACTGGAACGTGACGCTGATCCCCGCGGGCGCCAGGCACATCCGCGTGGCCCAGCGCAGCCGCAACCACCTGGGTACCGCGGGGCGCCCGCTGGAGCCGAGCCGGGGCGCGGGAGAGGGCGGTCCCCGCGGGCGCAGCCTGACTGGTCCTTTGCAGCGCTGGTGGCCCGGGACGGGCGCTACGTGCTCAACGGTGACGGGGCGCTCAGCCCGCCCGGCACCTACGAGGCCGCGGGCACCCGTGTGACCTACACCCGCGGCGCGGGCCCGGAGGAGACCCTGCAGGCCGCCGGCCCCACCTCCCAGGAGCTCCTGCTGCAGGTGCGCGGGCGGGGCGGCGGGGCGCAGGCGCGAGCCGGGCTGGGCGCGCGGCGGGGGCGGGGCCGACAAGGTTCAGCACGCGGGAGGAGCCGGGCCAGGAGCGGGGCTCGGCGCGCGGGAGGGGCGGAGCCGACAGGGCTCGGCGACCTGGGGGCGGGGCTGACAGGGCTCAGCGCGCGGCGGGGGCGGGCCCGAGGCTCGGGCCGCCAGTTCCGCGCTCCCCGCAGGTGCTGCTGCGGGAGCCCAACCCCGGCGTGCACTTCGAGTTCTGGCTGCCCCGGGAGAGCTACGGCCCCTTCCAGGCTCGGGCGCAGGCCCTGGGCTGGCCCCTGCGGCAGCCTCAGCCCCGGGAGGTGGAGCCGCCGCGCGCGGAGACCGTCGTGGCCCCCGAGGCCAGCCCGGCCCGGGTTGCATCGCTGGCACCAGGTCAGGCGGGGACGGTGGAGACGGGTCGGGCAGGGGGCGAGGCCCGAGCCACTCACGACACGCCCCCCGCCCTCTCCCCCCACAGACACCTGCGGGCCGTGCCCCGACAGCCGCGGTCGTGCTCACCGGCTTCTCCACTACTGCGGCAGCGACTTCGGTGAGACCCCTGACCTTTTGGCCCCTTCCACAGACCCCATTGATCTCTAACTCCTCCCGGACGGTAGCTGCGTCCCACCCTTGCCCTCAGCTGGCCCCCGGTGTCCCCTTCGCAGTATTCCAGGCCCGTGTGCTAGGCCGGCACCGCCAGGCGCAGGAGACCCGCTATGAGGTGCGTGTCCTGCTCATCTACAAAAACCGCACACCGCTGCGCTCTCGAGAGTATGTGTGGGCGCCAGGCCCCTGTCCCTGCCCACCGCTGGCCCCCCGTCGGGAGTACCTGTTGGCTGCCAGGCGGCTCGTCAGCCCCGATGGCACACAGGACCGGCTGCTGCTGCCTCACGCTGGCTACGCTCGACCCTGGAGTCCGGCAGAGGACAGCCGAGTCCGCCTGGCCGCCCGGCGCTGTCCAGCCTGAACTTCTGGCGCTTGGACCCTCGCCAGCTCGTGCCGGTGTCCCTTGGCTCAGGAAAATCTCACCAGGAAGCTTATATATTTTAGACAAGGTCTCTCTGTGTATGCAACCCTGGCTGGCTTGGAATTCACCGTGTAGACCAGATTGGCCTCGACGTCACAGATGCTCTGACTTTGCCTCCCAAGTGAGTGCTGGCTAGCAGGAAAGGCGCTCCCTAGCTGAGGACTTTCAGAAGCATCGCAGTCCTGGGCTGCCTTTTGGCTAAGCGACTTCTGTCCGTCCCTTTATACATTATCATTGGGGGCTGGAGAGATGGCTCGGTGGAAGAGCGCTGACTGCTCTTCCAGAGGACCCAGGTTCAATTCCCAGCACCCACCTGGCGTCTCACTTCTGTCTGCAACTCCTGATCCAGTTGGATCCAACACCCAACATACGTGCGGTCAAAACACCAATGTGTATAAAATAAAAATAATTATAGAAATCACTATTACGTTTTTCGAGAACGTGGAAAAGGAGCAATCTCCCGGGCCTGCGAGTATTCAGCTGGAGTGACTTGGGCCGCCGCCGTGAACACCCCATCTCTTCCTACTCGGCGCCGCACCCCAGGGCTGCCCTCAGCCCTGTGCTGTGAGTTCTTTTCTGCTTCTGTGTGGGTGTCTGTCCTCAGAGAACCATCCCCAGTGGTGTGTGCCTTTAGGCTATCCCCTCTGGGTCCTAGCTCTGTCACGCGGTCTAACCGGTCCTGGGGGCCATCTGGGGCTAGAACCCAGAGGCCCTCGGACCCTCAGCCTTGTCCTTTCTCTGGCCTCTGGGGCAGCGCGTTTACCTCTCCCTTCTGAGGGCCTCGGCTTTCCCATCTGCTCTCAAGTGCTGGGGGGGAGGCGCTGGTCTGGGATAAGCAGGGGGTCGCTTTGTATAATGGGGCTTTCTCTGGTAGTCTCTCATGGTCGTGGGGTGCTGGGAGCACCAAAATCTCCCCGAATCCCACACGGTGCAGCTGGGGTCTACAGGAACGTTGAGTCCTAGCGCCCCCTGGCAGCTGGACCAGGGATTCCCAGGGGCAGGCGGCAGGCCTGGGGATCCCACACCTACTTACAGTGGCTGCCCAATGTGACCCTGGAAGGTCCACGACAGGGTCATCTCTGACAGACAGGGTCCCGGCACTGAGCCCTGTGCACAGGACTTAACAAGTAGCTCAGAGTATCGGGAAGGCGTAGGTGGTACTCGGGTGAGGCTGTTGGGCTCCCCCAAGCCAGAAGCTGTCGCACTGGCATGAGCCTGGGTCCTACTGAGATTCAACCATAAGTGGAAACAACCACAAGACGGCAGCTTGCTGTCCTGGGCCTGTGAATCCTGAACCCAGGAGCGGAGGCAGGAGGGTCATCACGAGTTCAGGGCTGTCTGGTAGACTTAAGGAGGGCCTGCCTCGAAGTAAAAGTAAAAGGCGGAACTGAGGTTGAGGCTCCGGGGAAGGTGGCTGCTAGGCTGAGGCCCTAATTTCAGATCCCCAGGACCTGCGTATAAAGCTGAGTGCGCATGCTCGGGAGGGATCGCCAGGGCTGACGGCCAGCTCAGCCAACCCCGTGCTTTCCAGGGCCAGTGAGATGGAGAGCCATTAAGGTCCCACAGAGCCCAGGCTGAGGGTGATCTTAGAGTCCAGATCCGGACCCATACCTAGGTTATCTGTGGTTTAAATAAATTAACAGCCAGGCCAGTGTGGGGGGCTGAATGTTTGCTCTTTCTTCCCTTCCCCCACACCTGGGTGGACACCTCGGGGCGGGGGGGGGGGGGGGGGGGGGGGCTGCACTCGTTTCAAAACTCTATTTTATTTGGGGTATTTATGGTCCCACCTCTCCTCCACCAACCATTTAACCCTAGGAGAGAGGTTACGGGGAGAAGGGCACAGACCCCTTTACCCTCCTGGCTATTTAGGGTAGACAGGTTCTTTGGGGGCTCTACCAATCTCTGCCTACAGCAAAGGCGGCCAGCAGGCTCCTCTGTCTGTCTCCTCCAAGCCGCTCTGCCACAAAGCACCTCTCCCCCTCCATGTCTCTCCAAACCACCACAATGTCTGTCTCTGGTCACTCCAATCTGCCACACCTCTTTCTGGGCACTTTATGTCCTTCAGAGTCCTAGACCAGGCCCCTCTCCCTGCTTCATGAGGTAGTTATCAGCTGTGGACAAACTAAAGCCCAAACTACAATCCCACAAAAACATATTTACATGACATAACTGAGTTTCTAGAGAAACCAAAACCTTTACAGAGGAGCTATTGCCAGTTTCCTTTGGAGCCTACACACACACACACACACACACACACACACAGCACCCCCCTGGCCATACATGCTTAGACCACATTTTCAAAGCAGCTGCTGCAAACCCTGTCTCTAGTGCCCAAGGGGGACAGCACCCGGGACTGGGGTTGGGAGGGATTCAAAACTGCTCTGCAGCCTTCTAGAGCAAATGCCAAAGTGGGGTCCCTCTGCCTTCGGGGTGCCCTCCTCTCCTGTCCCAGCGCTCCCTTCTCTAGGAACAAGGGCTCACTCCTCCAACGTCAGGCCCCACCCTGTGCCAGGGCCTGGCATACCTTTGAACAGCAGCTTCTGTTGCCCCTGGAAAGCAGTCTTCATCTTCATGGCCTCACTTTTTATTACCCCCCTTTTTTTTTTTTTTTTTTTTTTTGAGACAAGGTCTTACTGTATAGACCAGGCTGGCCTGAACTCACCACATAGCCCTGGCTGGCCTGGAACTTGCTGTGTAGACCAGGCTGGCCTCAGATTCCTCCTGAGTGCTGGGATTAAAGACCTGTGATACTGCAACGGCTACTGAAGGTCTCCTGTAGCCTAGGTTAGCCCCTACACAGCAGAGGATGCCCTTGAACTAATGCATGCTTTGAGCCCAATACCCCAAGGTTCTACTTCCTTCCCCTTCTGCTCTGAATGTACCAATGTTGGGGGGGGCGCACCTGGACTGCTGACCTCCAGGCTGTTGTCCCCTGGGAATCCCGTTGGAAGCAGAGTCACTTGTCCCTAGCAGATCCTTGCAAGGGGGAGCCTGGGCTACGCAAGACTGTACAGGACAGTCACTCCTAGAAATCGGTGTTGCAACCCTGTGAGAGAATACGCTGGGGTTTGTGGCTCACCCCACTGCCAGGTTTCTACCAGATATTTCAGCGGAAGGTCCAGGATGGATAGAGAGCGCAGTGAGGGTGAGGGGCTGGGGGAGTGGCCAGGGGCGGAGCACTGGCCCAGTATTTGGGAATACTGTACCCCACCTGCCTAGGCAGAAGCGTCAAGAGCTGCCCTCCAACCTCACCTGCTTGACGTTCCTCCCGCATCCTCTCTAAGCAAAGCCCTGGGACTCCAATTCTTTCCACTTTTCCTTCTGGGGAGAGAGATGAGGAAATGAACTTGGCCACAAGTCTATGATTGTGGGTGATGGTTCTGTGTGTGGTTGTGTTCTGCAGACAGACATTTCTCCCTGAGGAGGGAAGATGGAATAGGGAGGAGAGAGGAGAGGAGAGAGGGTGGACAGAAGGGCCAGGACAGACGCTCTCACAGAGGACCCCAGTTGGGTTCCCAGCATGCCTGCTGGTGGGCCACAGCTGCCCCTCCACATCCAGAGGCTCTGGTGCCCTCTGTGGGTACCTTATGGACAGACCAAGACACAGACACACACACACACAAAAAAATTAGAAAGCTTTGAAAACCCTGAGAAACCTCTCTGGTCCTGTGAATGATAATTGGGACAATGCTGACCTTTCTCAGAGATCATACTGCCTGAGTCACCCCCACTCCCATCAGCACGCCCAGTAGATTGCACTTCACGGCGGGACCTGGCTCACTGCATGCCTTTGGGCTGTGGCTGCCCTAGCTGGAGTAAACACTATTTCTTCCTCGGCTAAGTGACACCATGCATGGTGGCTGTGACCTCAGGACATGGGCAGCTGAGGTGAGAGGGTGTACGTTGTGGGCCAGCCTGAGCTATATACCAAAATGCTGTCTCAGGGAGGGTGTTCTGCCTGGGCTTGGGAGTGCCTTGGGCCCGGGGCAGGTGACTTTGCCTTCCTCTGCCTCCTTGCAGCCTGACCACATGGTTGGTGTTTCCCAATAGCCCCGATCCAGCAGCCGAGCCAATGCACTCCGTGAGCCTGAGAGGGTGATTTTATTGTGTGCCTCGGAGGATGGATGTTACACGCGGGGACCCCCAGATGGTGGTTTTTAAGGTGTACCCTGACGGATGTTTTCCGTGGGCCTCCCATGGTAGACGTTTCGCATAGGAGTCCACAGGCAGGCTGTACGTGTGGGGGTCCAGCTGGTGGGTGCTGCATGCGGTTTCGGGGTGGATGTTTGGCTTGTTCTCTAAGTGGGCGGCTCCATGTGGCTCTCTTACGGTGCTCCGGTGGGTAGGTGTTTCATGTGGCTCCCGTGGGCAGGTGTGTCCTGTGGGCTCGTCCAGGTGTGACCCTAGTATGCCAGGTGTTGCAAGAGCCAGCAGTGTCTCGGACAGCGCAGCTGGTGACTGTAGCCTGGCCATTTACAGGTGATCTCCATGGTGGACTCAGACATATACTCCAGAGAGGAGTCTGAGTGACAGGGGACCATCAGCTCAAATGCTGAGCTGCTGCCGGCCACCTGTGCTACTGGTGCGACCACTGCTGTGGGCCCAGCGGCCATCTGTGTGGCTGCTGTCTTCTTGCTCTGCTTGTTGTTCTTGGAAACAGCATCGCCCGGCTCGCTGGGTGCCTTGCTGCCAGCCTGGTTGGGGATAGAGTGTGTGCTGGGAGACTGGGCCCTGGGTGAGCCCTGGGCGTTGGGTGAGCTCTGGGTCCTGGGTGAGTCCTGGGCCTTGGGTGAGTCCTGGGCCCTGGGTGAGCCGTGGTCGGAGATGCTGACACGATGCGTGGACGTGGGCGCAGATGTGGCGGCTGAGGTGGCTGCCGATCGGCCCACTGGCTGGCTTGATGGTACGACCTGAGGGGTCTGCTGGTTGGTTCCCTGGTTCCGGCCTATTGTCCGAGTAGGTCCAAAGGGCCGGCCAGCTGGCTGTGAGGATCCCCCAAATTGTGAGGGAAGGTGAGAGGTCCCCGAACTGGGCAGCCGGGTATGCTGTGTAGGCCTGGAGCTGCCCCGGCCACGATAGCCCCGGGGCTTGCTGGGAACCTGGGGGCCGCTGACAGGGCCGACAGCGCCAACAGCCGGCTGGCCGTGGGATGTAGCTGTGTAGCGTGGGCTGACTGAGGATGGAAAATGCTCATTCAGAGCTTGTGAGGGGCTTCCTGCTGGCTTGCTTGGACTTGAGGTTCGGCGTTGTTGCTGTTGGGTCTCTGTCTGGGAGTCCGAGGAGTCTTCCGAAGAGTCTTCCTCTGAGGAGTTGTCAGAGGCCTGGGCATCCGACGTGTGGACCTTGTCATTGGCTATGTGTCCCTTGTTGTCGGCTATGTGCCCATTTTCATTGGCTATGTGTCCCTTGTCGTCGACTATGTATCCCCTGTTGTCAACTATGTGTCCCTTGTCATCGACCATGTATCCCCTGTTATCGACTATGTATGCCCTGTTGTCAACTACGTGTCCCTTGTCATCAACTATGTATCCCCTGTTATCGACTATGTGTCCCTTGTCATCAACTATGTATCCCCTGTTGTCAACTATGTGTCCCCTGTCATCGACTATGTATGCCCTGTTGTCGACTATGTGTCCCTTGTCATCGGCTACAAGTCCCTTGTCATCGACTATGTATGCCCTGTTGTCAACTACGTGTCCCCTGTCGTTGACTACGTATCCCCTGTCATCGGCTACGTATCTCCTTTCGTCAGCTACGTATCCCCTCTCGTCAGTTGTGTATCCCCTGTCGTTGGCCGTCTGTTCCCAGTCGTTGGCCGTCTGTCCCCTTTCGTTGGCTGGCTGTCCCCAATCGTTGGCTGTCTGTCCCCAGTCGTTGGATGTCTGTCCTCGCTCGTTGGCTGTCTGTTCCTTGTTGTTGGCCATGTGTTTCTTGTCATTGGCCTTGGATTCTGCCAACAGACTGGTAGAGGACCTCAATTCAACTTCAGCTGCGGGGTCTGACTTGTCTTGGCTGTGGAGAGGAAGAGAATGGTGTGTGAGGGTGGTGCTGGTTGGGGACCCTCCCACCAGCCTGATGGGGAGCCGGTGGGACTATGGCATCAGCGCCACTCCAGAGGCAAGCGTGCCACTCTCTGCAGACATCCAAACACAGAACTGCACACTCAGCAACTCACAGGTGCCTGGACACAGCTGCCCCTGGGCAGCTGCGGGTGCACACAGGTGCGCAGACCCAGAGCACCCTGCGCCACACGTCTGCACACACATGCACAACATGAACACTGAATGCACATGCCCCTGTACAGTCCTTCCCAGAGAATTACATACGGTCCAGTTCCAGAGCGGCCGGGGTTTCCACTGTTGCTGCTGGGGTGACGAGAGCCCGGCCCCGAGCCAGGGCCTGCAGGACTGGTTCCCAACAGCCAAGGAGAGAGAGGCGGACAGTAAGAGAATAGCAGAGCCATGCAGGGGTGGTCGAGACGCAAGACAAGCGTAGCCAGTCAGGAGCTCGAGACAGGCGAATGGACAGAGGCAAATTCAGCCACAGGGACAGACACGGATAGAAGGTCAATCAAGACCCAGGATCCAGCTGGGGCGGGGTGACACTGTCACGCCTGTCATCCCAGCACTCAAGAGGTAGAGGCAGGAAGATGAGGAACTAAAGATCATCCTCAGCTACACTGTGAGTTGGAGGTTAGCCTGGGCTACATGAAATCCTTTCCGTCCCAAAATAACGTAACTATCTATGTGTGGTGGCTCACCTTTAATCCTAGGCCTCAGGAGGCTTAATAGGTGGATCTCTATGAGTTCCAGGCCAGCCTGGTTTATATAGTGAGTTCCAGGCCTGCCAGGGCTACACAGAGAAACCCTATCTCAAAAAACAAACAAAAAACCTAAAGGAAAAAACGAAACACAAATCCAGTATCCAGATCAAGCCCCTTGGGCACCCATTCTTAGTACACACCGTCCCGGGTTATCCCAGCTGCTATGTCCAACGCTCTTCCGCTTAGCTGGCTCGCGGCGGTGTCTAGGGCCACGTGATGTTTTAGAAACAGCGGTCGTATGACGCGGTGGTACAGTATGAGTGCTCCGTTCCACGGTCCCGGTGTCATGCAGAATAACAGGAAGGCGCACTGCGTGGGGACACATTGTCACATGCAGGGCCCTGCCCTCCGAATGGGAACACACCCCACTGTCACAAAGGACACCCCACCCCTCTTCCTCCTCCACCTGCTCCTAGGGCTGGCCAGCCTTCCCACCTTGCCCGCGTAGTAGAAAGGGAACCAGAATAGGAGTAGATCGCTGAAGAATTCGACCAGACCGAACAGGGCGTAAACCACCCAGTAGGTTAGCCACACAGTATCGTCTTCCTTGCTTGGGCTCTCGATAGCCTTGACTCTGTCCAGATGAGATTGCGCATGTCCATTCGCAGTCCTACCTGGGAGCCTTCAGCAGGCCCCCCCACCCCCTCCCCACCCGACTGCCAGTTGCACTCACGAAGCATATGCGGGGTATGCAAATCCGATTACATTGCACAGCAGAGACGCCCCGTAGCCGAATAGAAGATACAGGCTTAGCAGAGTGATTGCTCCTGGAAGATAAGAGTGGCAGGCACTGTCCCTAACACAGCCGCGCCTGTGATAGTCAGAAGCCTGCACCTTCTCACTGCGATGCCCTGGGCAGCCTATGGGCCAGGAGCTCAGTTTGGGGTCAGGAGGTCAGCAGATTTTAAATTTCCTTCTTTAAAACGGGGTCTCACGCTGCAGTCCTTGCTGGCCTCAGACTCATGGAGAGCTGCCTGCTCCTGCCTCTTGAGGTCCAGGGTTAAAGGTATATGTTCTGCCCAGGCATTGGCTATTTGGGGTTTTTGTTTTGTTTTGGGATGTTTTTGTTTTGTTGGGTTTTGAGATTAGGTCTTGCCCTGTAGCCCAGGCTGGCCTTGGACTCTGGCTCCTCCTGTCTCAGCCTTTGGAATGCTGGGAGGACAGAGTGCACAAGGTCATCCTTGGCTACATAGTGAGTTCAATGACAGCCGAACTCCGTGAGTCCATGTTTGACACTGCCCAGGAGGCTTATGGGAGCAGCTCTGTTGGCAAAATAATTTCTATGAAAGCACGAGGACTTAGCAACAGAACAATACAAAAGTGGGCTTTGCTGCAGTTTGCCTGTAGCGCCAGCATTTGAGACAGGGTGGTAGGAACGAACAGATCCTTGGAGCTCACTGTGCAATCAGTCTAGCTAAAGCGATGAGCTACACACATTCAGTGAAGGACCCTCTCCAGAGAAGATGGAGAGAAGCCAGTGAGATGGCTCAGCAGATACAGCGACAAGTAGGACACCTAAGCCGATTGCTGGAACCACGTGATAGAAGGAGAACTCTCTCTCTCTCTCTCTCTCTCTCTCTCTCTCATGCTGGAAGACCCCCCAAAACAAAAAACAAACAAGATGAGATATTCCTTGTTCTACAGTTTTACCTGCTATCCAAGTGTGGCCAAGGTTGACTCCTGCCCCCTGGGGCAGCTGTGGTTTCGTAACTCTTCCTTACTACACTCTATAGAATGGCCTTTTGGCCACTAAGACATTCGTAGCAAAGAAGTTGCTGCTAGAAAGGGCCAAAGGAGAGCTTGAGGCATGTGGGAAAGTATACGTGGAAGGGTATGTGCCTCATAGTACTCCAGTGATGGTCAGAGGCTGGGCTGAGCTGGGGAGCTGGAATGGCTTATCCATGTGAGGGGACCTTTGCCCTCGGGGTAGCTAGGACTGGGATGTCTCCAACTTCCTCCCCTAGACTGTTATCTGCAGGGACTCAGGCTTCTGTGTCTAAGGTCAGAGTCCTTGCCCCTCCTTCCACCTGCTCCGGGTCTTATCCTCTGGAACCTGAGGCCACAGAAGGAGGGGGCCCCAGCTCGCCCCATGAACTTTGCCCTGAGTCTAAGTTGCTTACCCCATTTAGTGCCTGGGGGCACAAGTTGGCCATTTAGGACAATTGAAACCTAAGAGTCCCTCTTCACTGAGGAGAGGGTCCTGAAGGTGATGGAGGTATTATGGTCTCTGGCATTGGTGGGGGAAGGGCTCTCCCAGTGTACTGGCTCCCTCAATCTCTTTAACTGCAACCTCAGCAGCAGAAGGATAACCTCGGACACCAAGGACTTAGGGCAGGGAGTGCTTTGAGGGGGTGGGGAGGGGCACAGACACGATACGAAGTGATGGAGGGGACAGGATGTGGAGATGAGGGGGATTCCCAACACAGCCTCCTGTGCCTCAGTTCCCCTTCTGGCCACTCCCTCACAGGGTACTATGACATAATTTCCCTGGTGATGTGGTAAGGCAGGACAGAGGTCGCAGCCTGTATCTGGGCCCACACAGCGGGACAATGGCTGTCTTGGGGTGCTGAGTCACAGCTTGGGATCTGGGCAAAGATTTCAGACCCCCCCCTCCAATACACACATTGGGGTTTGGGGGGCCACCTTCCAGCTGGTGAGGAAGCAAGAGTACATGGAACCTGGCCTCACGGCCTGACACAGCCCTTCACACAGAGCCCATATGTGGTTCAGGAGGGACTAAGCCTGTGGGCTCCTGAAGACACAAAGGGGCACACTAAAGTCATTTCAGAAAGACACCAGAGGCCTCTAACACCCTGCAGAGAGGATCTGGAACTAGAACGGACCTATGGTTAGGATGCGTGAATGGGCCCTCCCCACACTCCCCCCACTCCCCAAATCCCAGCCACCACCTCAGCTCTACAAATATTGACTCAAAGCTACTGTGCTGGGGCAAAGAGGAGGAGAAAGCCTGGTGTCCTGCTGCCGGGGCAGTGCCCTCCCAGCCTGGCCTCGTGTCCCCAAGATCCATGGGAACAGGCAGGAAGGGACTGGGAACCTAGTGGATTGATGGGGGGCGAGGGATGCTGTCCCTTGTTTTTTCACCCCCAGAGAAACCGGACTTGGGGCCTGGCATGCAGCCAGGGCCCCCAGAGGAGGCAGGTGGCCCTGAGTGCTGCAGGGCCCTAGGGTGGCGTATCCCAGGACCTTGGAGGAGAGGCAGCAAATGAAAACCCCTCTTCTCAGGAGTCCAGGGTGAGATCCCTCGGGCAGATCGTGGTCCCACATGATGCCAGGGTCCGTGGAAGAAGCAGAGTGTGCTCCTCTCCCATGAATGGGGACTCAGGGCATCTTGGTTGCCTATGGGGGACCTAGCTGGGCACCCCATCCCAGGAAGTCAGGTCTGGGTGCCTAGGTCTTCGTGAGACCTGTCAGGTCAGAGTCCTTATGGCCTTGTAGAGGCCCTCGGGGACTTGGGATGTGCTGCACCCCAGGACCTCACGGTCCTAAAGAGGGACCCGGCATGTGAGTCCTTTTAGGGGTGGGATGCGGCAGCTGGGTCTGAGTTCTCAGGGCCTCCTGGAACTCGTCGGAAACCTAAGATGTGAACTCCCTCCAGGGTGAAGGCGCCCAGCTTCCAGGTGCCCAACTGCTACTTGGGCCATGCAACTCAGCCAAGGAAGGGATCAAGGAGCCAGGTCTCGGTTCCCGGGGCCTCCTGGAACCCGTCTCGTACCCGCGATTCGCGCCCTCTCCGGAGACCCAGCGCCTTAGGATGCCCGTCGGGAACCCGCGACATGCACCCCTCTTCCAGGCTTACCCACGGCGAGATATCGCTTCTCTACACCGGTCCTGGCTTCGAGTGCCCCGAGCGCTTCGGTGGCCACGTTCTTCTGCTCCAGAAACCTTTCGAAGCGCTGGCGCAGAGAGTCCATGGCAGCGGCGGGCCCGGGGCTGGCCGCCGAAGCACGACCGCAGCCTCGCGCACCGGCCCCGCCGAGGCCGCACCACTTTCACCGCTTGCACGCCGCCGGGCCCCGCCCCTGCCCCGCCGCTTTCAGGCCCCGGCCCTCTTTGCTCCGCCCCCTGTCCCGGGCTCTGGCCAATGGGAGGGCAGGGCGGACAAAGGAGGTGGGGCCTGCCCCGTCTCCTCCGCCGCATCGCCCTCTGGCCAGGGCGGAGGCCGAGGCGGTAGCAAGAAGTCCGGAGGGGGCGGGGCGCCAGGCTGCTGGAGTGTTGATTGGTCAAGAGGGAGTGGCACAGTACTGATTGGACAAGCGGTAGATTATTGACGAAGAGCGGTGACGGTGGGTGGGGCTAGGTGAGGAAACGGTGGGAGGGGCCGAGTCAAGGCCAGCGCTGATTGGACGATCCAGAGAAGGAGGGGTTGATCACAAAGGAGGCGGGACTACACTGGAAAAAACGATGCTGACCTGGAAGGAGGGGCGTGGACGAAAGTGGGCGGAGCCAGATAAAAGCTTGAGGGCATCCCTGGTACCCTGAACCTGCTCCTAGGGGCCTGATGGAGTGGCTGACTTTGCGTAAGTGGTGAAACTGAGGCTCCCGAAGGCTTAGGTCTGTGTGGATTGGCTCTCCGTGTGGAATATTCCCACCCCTCATGGGTGGGAGTGGAGGGGAAGGAAAGAACCGCAAGGCCCCTTGGGAGTCGAAGCTTCGGGGTTGCTATGGTGTCCAGGATGGGGTGGCTTCCTGAGGCCCCGCCCCCCGCCCCGCCCCCCGCTATGCGGCCCTCCCCGACTGCGCTGTGGCTGGGTCTGTCTTGGGCTTTGGCCCTCCTGGCTGTGGGGTGGGCTTCAGCCCGGGCCCCTATCTATGTCAGCAGCTGGGCCGTGCGGGTGACCCAGGGTTACCAGGAGGCTGAGCGCCTGGCACGTAAATTTGGCTTCGTCAACCTGGGACAGGTGGGTGGGACCTGGATGGACGGGACACGGAGTGGGGGCCTGGACGACCTCAGACCTGGACAAAGGGGAGGGCGTCTCCAAGACCTCCTCAGCTATAAAGAACGTGCCCCTCCATGTTCAATTTGGGATTCTGCGGCCTTCAACTGGACCCCTGGTTGAGGAGTATTCTGCCGTGGAAACCGGGCGCCACCTCTGGGGACTCTCAAAGGAGCCAGATCCCAGCGATGCCCTTTCCATCACATTCCCAGATCTTCCCTGACGACCAGTATTTCCATCTACGGCACCGGGGTGTGGCCCAGCAGTCCCTGACTCCTCACTGGGGCCACCGTCTGCGTCTGAAGAAAGAGCCCAAGGTGAGATTGGGCCCATGGCTGCCGCCTCCTAAGCCAGCCAGTCACTTTCTGTCACTGTCATTGTCACTAGTGGCCTGGAGGGTTGTGACATAGGGGCTAGTTGGGGAAGCTGTGTGTGAGCACGGCGCATAAGACAACCTGGCTCTTGGGGGCTCAGGGACGCTCTGATGACCCCTGACCTGCTTGTCACTGGGGGTCTCATACACTGGTCCTTCCCCATTCCAAGCCACAGGGTGTAGGGAAGGGAATGGGTCCATTTTTAACACACAGGAAAACCGTGCCCAAGACGAAATCCTGGAATCCGTGAGCGTGAAGCTGAACCAGGGGCAGAGCCCAGGTTTTCTGGTGCTTCTGGAGGTGTCCTGTCCACACTAGGCCAGTCCTTACCTGCAAACAGCTCTTAGCTGGCAGCCAGAAACGGGCATGGTGCTGGGGTAGTGTGATCCGTAGAGGACAGAAGAGTCCTCTCTGTGTCCTCACTTTCAGCACCAGGAACTGTCTTGGTTCCTGTCCTGCTGCTATGACAGAACACCATGGCCAAGGCAACTTAGACAGGGAAGACTTTATTGGAGCTTACTGTGTGAGGGGGTGAGTCCCGACCACCGTCCCGGGGGTACAGCAGCAGACAGGGCAGCGCTGGAGCAGGAGCTGAAAGCTCACATCCTCATCCACAAGGAGGAGGCAGAGAGGGCTAGCGAGAAATGGCCTGGGCTTTTGAAACCTCCAGCAAGGCCACTCCTCCTAACCCTTCCTAAACAGTCCACCAACTGCAAACCAAGCAAAACATAAGAGCCTGTGGGAGGCCATTCTCATTCAGTCCACCAGAGGAACTAATGTCTTCAGAGACCAAACCTTGTGAAGGTAGAGAATGAGGACAGGCAAGAGGAAGGGATAGTGGGAAGATGAGGGAAAAAGAGGGTGGGGGAGGAAAAGAAGGAGCCACAAGAGATGAGACGAGTAGCAGCTCGTGAGCGGATGGACAGACAGACAGACAGATCAAGCCAGGTTACGCAGGAGAACATGGCTCCCGAGGCTAAGATGGGGGTGTGAAGAGAAGGGGCGGCTGAGCTGCTTTGGTCTGTCAGAATAGCACTTGCGAAGGTCCTGGGGTGGAAGGCTAGGCGTGCGCTCTCTCCCGGTCACTAGCAGTAGCGTCAAGAGGAGCGGGCTGACTGAGTGTGGTGGACAACGGCGGAGGGGGCAGGGGCTAAGGCTCTGTGGGTAAACTGCTTGTTCGGTGAGCAGGAAGTCTGGGTCCCTTCCCAGCCCCACCGCTTAAGCCAGGCGTGGTAGCACAGCCCTGCCACCCCTGCACTGGGGAAGTGGAGGCAGGAGGATCAGGAGCTCAAGGACAGCCTCAGCTATGTAGTTTTTGAGGCTAGCCTAGGTCACCACAAGGGACTGTGACCTGTCTTTTAGCACCTTGTGGGCTCTCCTTTCACCCTTCTCCACCCCTTGTCTTCCCTCTCAGCCCTGTAACACTAGACAGGAGATGGTAAAGGAGAGGGGGAAAGAGGGCACTGCTGTTAGGCTGCTTCCCGCTGACCAGGGGTCAAGCTCCTCGGTGCAAATTTGATCTTTGACATCAGGATATCTAATTTCTTCTTATTTCTTCTTTGTGTGCGACTACTTAACAGACTGTGACCAACAGCAACCCGCCTCTCAGGGACCTAGCATTTATGTACCCTCTGAAAAGTCCCCAGTTTTCCAAATATCACACAAACTATCTGCAGCTGGACAAACCATCCCCCTGCTAGGGCACGGAACAAATCATAGTCAGCTGCTATGAAGCAGCCCCACATCCCTACGCTTGAGATTAAAACATAGTTTTATAGATATTCTAAAGGAACCAAAAGACCAAAATTCTCCCTACGTGAGACCCCATGTCAGACAGCAGAAAAATAGCCAGTGAGATGGCTCAGAGGGAGTGTGTACAACCTCACTGACCTCAGTCCCCAGATCTACATGCCGGAAGGAGAAAACTGACTCTCACAGCTACTTTTTCTTGTCGTCATTTTGTTTTTTGAGACAGGGTTTCTCTGTGTAGTCCTGGCTGTCCTGGAACTCAGAGAACTCCGAGGGCTGGGATTAAAGGAGCGCACATCACTGCCTCCCAACCCCACTATTAGTTTTTTAAAAACTTACAAGGAATTTTGTATTTGCACTGACTTTTACTAATGCATATTAGTGTTTTGACTGCTTGTCTGTGCATGCAACTCACACATGCAGTGTCCAGGGAGGTCAGAAGGGGACATTAGATCAGGCTAGACCTTGTTCCGGGGAGCTGTGAGCCACCATGGACACCCTGGGAATCGAATCCTGATCCTCTGCAAGAGCAGCCGGGGCTGCTAACCACTGAGATGGCTTTCTAGCTCCACAACTTGTCCTTTGACCTCCACATATATGCCATGGCACACGGTCACGTGGACACGCACACACCGTGTGTGTGTGTGTGTGTGTGTGTGTGTGTGTGTGTGCATGAAGACAGAGGAGATAGAAACTGAGACGGCAAATGTAAAGCTAAACATACACACTGGGAGGTCATAGAGGTTGTGTGACATGGGCCAGGGATGTTCTGGTATCAGGCACGGCAGGTTTTTGAAGTGCCGCCGGGACGGCAGCAATGGCACACACCTTTGACCCGAGCACTCCAGAGACAGAGGCAGAAGTGGGTGACTCTCTGAATTCAAGGCTAGCTCAGTCTGTATACTGAACTCCCGGCCAGGCAGAGCTACACAGTGAGATCCTGTCTCAAAAGAAGCAATAGTGCGGGGGTGGGGTGGGGGGTGGGGGTGGGGGTAGAGCAGGTGAGAAGGCCCTGCAACAAGGAAGGGGTAGGGCTAGGGCCAGGAAAGCCACACTTGTCCCATCAGGCCTGAGGTGGTTCTGCGAACACAGCCTGAGGGTCACGGCGGGTCCTCAGGAGCAGCCCCAGCCAACAGCCCTGTCAAGGACTTCCACAGAGGTCCACAGCCCTCCTGCCCACGGCCGCACGCCCTGGAGGCAAAGGCCGGTGCAGCCCCTGCGACCTCTGCAGGTGCGGTGGTTTGAGCAGCAGACGTTGAGGCGGCGGGTGAAGCGCTCCCTCGTGGTGCCCACAGACCCCTGGTTTCCCAAGCAATGGTACATGGTGAGCACTTTGACAGGGCTGAGTGGACCGGGGGGACCAGCCTGAGCCCCACTGACCCCAGGTCCCTCCTTGTCTCCCATAGAACAACGAGATGCAACCAGATCTCAACATCCTGAAGGTCTGGAGCCAGGGTCTGACTGGCCGGGGAGTGGTGGTCTCCATCTTGGACGATGGCATCGAGAAGGACCACCCGGACCTGTGGGCTAATTATGTGAGTCACCCAGGGATCAAGGCAGCAGGCCGCGTGCCCCAGAGCCGCCCAGGCCCACCTCACTCTCACCTGGCCTTCCCTGTGCGCCCTCCAGGACCCTCTGGCCAGCTATGACTTTAATGACTATGACCCAGATCCCCAGCCTCGCTACACACCCAGCGACGAGAACCGGTGAGCTAGATTCTGCATAGGGGGTGTTCTGGGGCCTGCAGAAAGGCCGGCGTGGGCTGTGACACATGCATGTCTGTCTATCAGGCATGGGACCCGCTGCGCCGGGGAGGTGTCTGCCACAGCTAACAACGGTTTCTGTGGTGCCGGTGTGGCCTTCAACGCCAAAATTGGAGGTACCAGGGGTGGGGGCAGGCGGCTGTCAGGCCAAGGTTGACCAGTGCAGGAACACCGCTCCCAGCCGCTCCCCCGTTCCCACCACTGGCTGCTGGGCACTGCCAGGCCCTAGGCCGTGGGTGACTAAAGGGTGGCAGGGCGGCCTGGTAGGGCAAGCAGAGTTGGTGCTGGCGCAAGGCCCACGCCCACCCGCGCAGGCGTGCGCATGTTGGACGGGACCATCACGGACATCGTGGAGGCGCAGTCGCTCAGCCTGCAGCCGCAACACATACACATCTACAGCGCCAGCTGGGGCCCTGAGGATGACGGTCGCACGGTGGACGGGCCGGGCGTCCTCACCCGGGAAGCCTTCAGGCGCGGTGTGACCAAGGTGCGCAGGGAACGCCCCCTGGCGGAGGGGACGGGGCCCGGGGGTCTGGAGGGCTGACTCTGTTTTCCCGGGTCGCCCCCCACCCAGGGTCGCCAAGGGCTGGGCACACTGTTCATCTGGGCCTCGGGAAACGGTGGCCTCCATTACGACAACTGCAATTGTGACGGCTACACCAACAGCATCCACACACTGTCAGTGGGCAGCACCACGCGGCAGGGCCGGGTGCCCTGGTACAGCGAGGCCTGCGCCTCCACCTTCACCACCACCTTCAGCAGCGGCGTGGCCACCGACCCACAGATCGTAAGCGCCCAGCCGAGCCCACGGCGCAGGCCCCGCCCCGCCCCGCCGGCCCCGCCCCCTTGACGGTGGCCGGGTCCCCAGGCAGATCCCACTCCACGAGCCCCACACAGGCCGCCCCCTCCTGCCCCTGCGTCGGGCTCCCGGTCCCTCCGATCCCCTTCCATACTTAGATCCAAACGCGTCCTCCTCCTCGGCAAGTCAGCTCGGCCTCCCCGGGCAAGATCCACGCCAATGCCCTGGCTACTTGTGCCCCTGCTCCCTGGAGGTTGGAGCCAGCCTCGGCTGGCTCTGAGGGCCACAGCCTCCCACGTCTCTAAACCCACTCATGACACACGGGCCCGCACTCCCATTCCACCACCCTCGAGACTGGGGCCGGGTCTCTGCTCCTGGTGCAGCAGCCCTTCCTGTCCCCCAGATGGCTCGGGCTCTCGTGGAGTCGGTACGTTTTAGATGTAGCGCCGTGCGTCATCTTGAACTCAGTGGTCTCGGGGCCCGGTCCTTAGCAGATCTTTAGTAATTGTTGAACTTAGTCCTCAGTACTTGCTAAACTTAGTCGCTGGTGTTTGGCTTGGTTTGGTTTTTTGCTTTGTTTTTAGAGATAGGGTTGCTCTGTGAAGCCTTGGCTGTCCTAGCCTCTCTTTGTAGACCAGGCTGGCCTTGAACTCGGAGATCAGCCTGTATTCTTTATCTGAGTCAGGCGCTCACGGCGTAGACCAGGCTAGTCTGGAAGTCACAGATTCTCCTGCCTCTGCCCCGCGAGTGCCGGAACAAAACGCCTGCATCACCAGGCCTGGGGCTTTCAGTACCTTTTGAGTTTAGTCCTTGGTGTGTTTGAGCCTAGTCTTCATACTTAGCCTGATCTTCAGCACTTTGTGAACCTGCCCCCAGGACCTTCCATACGCCCTCCGTCTGGGCTGCGCACTGGGCCCAAGGCCCCTCTCTGCTGTCTGTCCCCAGGTCACCACGGACCTGCACCACCAGTGCACAGACAAGCACACGGGCACCTCGGCCTCCGCCCCGCTGGCCGCCGGCATGATCGCCCTGGCTCTGGAGGCCAAGTAGGTGACCGTGGGGCCCCGCCCACCGCCCCGCCCCCTCGGGCGGCGCCCCGCTCACCCGCCCTCGCCCCCCCAGCCCGCTCCTGACCTGGAGGGACATGCAGCACCTGGTGGTCCGCGCGTCCAGGTCGGCGCAGCTGCAGGCAGAGGACTGGAGGATCAACGGCGTGGGGCGCCAAGGTGCGGCGGGGCCAGGCAGGGGACCGGGGTGCCACGCGCGCAGGGCGAGTGACCGCCTCCCTTCCTGCGCAGTGAGCCACCACTATGGCTATGGACTGCTGGACGCGGGGCTGCTGGTGGACCTGGCTCGCGTGTGGCTGCCCACTCAGCCGCAGAAGAAATGTACCATTCGGGTGGTGCAAAGCCCCACGTGAGGGAGGCCCCGCCCCGCCGGAGGGAGGCCCCGGCCCCGCCCCCTGGAGGGATGCCCGCCCCGCCCACTGGAGGGAGGCCCCTAAGCCCGTTCACCGCACCCACCGGGGAGGTCCTGCCCATGTTGCCACCCCGCACTCGGATGCAGTCTTCCTCCCCTACCTCGCCACCCTAATCCGAGGCAGGGAGGATGCCCCGAAGCCTCAGTTTACCCATCTGAGGAAGGAGAGTGCCCTCAGGCCCTTGGACACACATGCAAACGCACGTCCGCACGCACACACCAGACTCGCCTCCCGGCGCCACCCGGCACCCGGCAGACCCACGGGATGGTCCTCACCCCACCAGCCCCATCGTGCCTCGGATGCTGGTGGCGAAGAACGTCTCCGCGTGCTCCGGTGGCTCGCGCCGCCTCATCCGCTCGCTGGAGCACGTGCAGGTCCAGCTGTCACTGACCTACAGCCGCCGCGGGGACCTGGAGATCTCCCTCACCAGCCCCATGGGCACGCGCTCCACGCTCGTGGCCATCAGGTGTGAGCTCTCCCGAGGGGCCCTGGGGGCGAGCGGCGCCCTCCCTATCCCGCTGCAGGTGGGAACCTCCTACCGGGGTGGGACTCAGAAGACCTGTGAGACGCCTCCTGTCGTCCTGTCTCTCCCGCGCCACCCGCTGGCCACAGACCCTTGGATATCAGCGGCCAAGGCTACAACAACTGGATCTTCATGTCCACCCACTACTGGGATGAGGACCCGCAGGGCCTGTGGACCCTGGGCCTAGAGAACAAGGGCTACTATTTTAACACAGGTGAGAGCTGGCTGCTGCTGCAGGGCTGCAGCTGAGGGCTGGGGACCCTGCCATGGTGGACCCACGGCCACAGAGGGCCCCATGCAACAGGCATTCCTACCACACAACAGATGTTCCCTGGAGGATGGGCGGGTCCCAGCCGCCAGTGCACAGTAGGTATACAATTACAGACAGAGTGGGAGAGAGGGAGGGAGGGAGGTCTGTCCACTGGCACATAGTAGGTGTAGCAACATGGGGGGAGTGGGGATCTGGCCATTGGTGCAGATTAGCCATATGGTTACCTGAAGGAAGTGGATTGGGGGTGGGTGTGTCTGAAAACGGCGGCGGCACACAGTAGGTGTGTAGCAGCCAGGCCGGGTTGATCTGGGGCCCTGGTTGGGGGCCGCTGAGGCTGGCTACAGAGCCTGGCAGGCCACCTTGGTGCCCACCGCGACCCCTGCCCAGGAACTCTGTACTACTATACGCTGCTGCTGTACGGGACGGCCGAGGACATGACAGCGCGGCCCTACGGCTCCCAGGTGACCAGCCGCACGTGTGTGCAGAGGGACACAGAGGGGCTGTGCCAGGGTGAGTGGCCGAGCGCATGGTCACGTGGGGGGAGGAGGCGCAGTGGCCCGGGATGGGCGGGTGGGCACTGCTTGCCCACGAGCTGCAGCCTCACCCTCCCCCCTCTGCTTCCATCCCACCCCTCTGTTTCCAGAGAGTCACCGTCCCCCCTTCATCCTGGTCAGGCTCTCAAGGCTCCACACCTACACACAGCAGCCAGTGACCAAGGGAACAGGGCAGCGGTGACCCTCCTGAGAGCCTCCTGGGGTGACCTGGCCAGCGACTACACTGCCTGTTCCCTGTCCCTCACGCTGGGCGAGCTCCAGGCCTCCTCCAAGGCCTGCCACCTCCAGTGGCCACTCCGGTTACCAGTCCCGGGCCAAAGTACTGGCCCTGCTGGCCAGGGCCTTCAGGAGACCCCTCTCTGCTTGAGGAAGGCCCACCTACCCCAGGCTAGACATCCCAATGCTCACGACCATGAGTGCACAGCACCCTGAAGGCTGGGGAGCCAGAGATGCCTGAGTCTAGGGACAGAAGGGGAACCCTAAGACCCCGATCCCAGGATGGAATAGGACCTGCCCCAGGGGGGCCCCTGCACGGGTGACGTGAGGGCCCCCGGCTCAGCCTTGTCTGCTCCCAGTGGAAGAGCTGTCTCCTTCCTTCGCTTTGCAAAGAGCAGGACAAGGGTGGACAGTGCTCGGGCCACAGCCACTGACCATCTGTCCCTTCCCTGTCCCAGAACCATCCACAGCCCTGTGTCTGACCTCATCGTTGGCAAATAAAAGTTAAATAGAAGATGTCAAGTCTGCGGTGTCTTTCAGGGTCTCACAAATGAGACACGGGTCCCTGGAGGGCTAAGGAGCCATAAAGGAAGAGCTGCTCTGAGCCCAGAGACCACCCAAGTGCCCAAATGCCCCACGGCCAAGCCCCGGAAGCCAGCTCCTCCCGCCCCTCCCCGTCCTTGTGGAGACAAGGCCTCCCTGTCGCTTCGGCTGTCCTGGGATCACCATTTAGACGGCCTGCCTTTGCCTCCCGACCGCTGAGATTGAAGACATGTCCCACTACAAGAAAGCAAGGCTCCCGGAAGGCGTTACCCTGTGGAGAGGGTCCACAGCACATTTACTGAGCGCCCACGGGGCGCTCGGCCACGCTGCCCAGCCAGGGAAGCGCGGACCCACGCGCCTCCTCTCACCGGAGGCCGGGGGACGCTTGAAGACGGAGGAGGGGTTTCCAAAGAAGCCGCGCTCCAGCAGACCGGAAGTGCAAACACGTAGAGGCTCGGGAGCAGGAAGCGGAAGTGGTGGCGGCCGCCTCGGTTCCCGGAGCGGAGACAGACAGCAGGGCACACCTAGGGCAGACCGAGGCGGAGGTCGAGGGAAGCGGAGACGGGTAGGGAGTTCGCGGGATGGGAGGGCCGAGCCGAGAGAGGACCTCCAGTTAGCGCGCGTCGGCCTACGAGATGAGTTCCAAGGCCAAGAAACGCGTGGTGCTCCCCACGCGCCCCGCGCCTCCCACGGTGGAGCAGATCCTGGAGGACGTGCGAGGTGCATCCGCCCACGATCCTGTCTTCACCGCCCTGTCCCCTGAAGGTAGGAGGACCTGGAACTCCGAGTTCCAGGCAGATGGGAAGCTAACCGATTGCAGCCAGGCACTGAGGGGTGACCCCCTTTTTTTTTTTTTTTGGTCACTGGTCTTCCCTCCCTCTGCAGAGTGGGGTCATCATAAGCAAAGCCGAGGTGCCGCCGAGCTTGGCGACTTAAGCTAACCCAGGGGTCCAGGGCAGGAGGATTGCTGTGAGTTCAAGACCTTGCCTCAACAGGAGAAAAAAAGCCCACAACCAGTTGCTCCTACATGGAGATCTGGGAGGCAGCAATATGTGCAGGGCATTTCCTAGAGTTCCGCCCTAGAATCTGGGGTAGCCAAGGGGCCCTGTCCTCTCCGTGCCCCCCGAACCCTGGGGTTTTCCAGGCCTGTGACTGTTGACGATCTTCTAGGGTCTAGACAGGTCACAGCCCAGGGTGGCCCCATCTCCCTGTGTGGCCAAGGGTCCCCAAGGATGGGGGTCCTCCTGCCTCAGCCCCTTGATTGCTGGGTGTCAGGCTTGTGCCTGGTCAGGAAGCCCTTCCTCCCTACCTGTGAAGTAAGGCTGGCTGCTGGCTGCGGGTACCAACACTGTTTCTCCTTTCCAGACCCCCCAGACACATCCCCGAGGGCCGAGAACCAGCAGGAGCAGATCTACCAGCAGAGCCGGGCCTATGTGGCCATGAATGAGAGGCTGCGGCAGGCAGGGGAGGCACTGAGGCAGAAGTTCGATGATCTTCGGCAAGCCGGTCACAGGCTGGAGCAGGATGTTAGCCAGCTGACCTCCGCCGCCACCTAGAGCTACCCTGGATGCCCTCGGCCCAGGCCTGGGCACCTGGCAGCCAAAGGCCAACACTTGCTGTGCCAAAGCTGGACTGAGGGGACCCAGTGGCCCACTCTTCAGGCTTGGAGTTTGTTCCCTCTTCCGTCCTTGGTGGCCTCTAATTTGTAATGGGACTTGAGGACATAGCCACCTCCTTGTTCATGGGGACGCCAGCCCCGATTGCATCTAGGACGTGGCTGCAGCTCGGGGCTCAGAGCCAGTCTGCCCCATAGTGAGCAGGCTTTCACCCATGTGTTCTGCTGCCTCCTATCACCCCGGGCAGCCAAGGTCTTCATCCCCACCATCCTTGAAGCCCAGCAACCAGTATGTGCGGAGTCATCTTGTTTGAGAGAATGGACTGGCAAACCCCTCCCCGAGCCTGGCTAGGTCCTCCAAGGCCTCGCTGGCTTTCCTGTTCTCCCTGGGGCTGGGTGACTCAGCAAGGGGGTTTTCATTGGGGGGGGGGGTCGAGGGGTACAAGAGGAGCCCAAAGACAGGTGATAGCTCAGGGATGCCTGCAGCTCCCTGTCGTGCAAGCAGAGCTGGGCACTCACTGGACCCCTGTGTGAGGCGCCCCTTCTGGACCTGGGGTTCAGTTTACCTTCTTGCCACGCTAGGGTGGGTGGGCTTTATTCCTGGAAGATCAAAGGTGTTTGATTCCTGAGCATGGACCTCCCCTAAGCTGGACACTGGATCACTGGGGCCCACGCCTATGCCCGGCCCCTTCGCACCTCAGGCATCGGCCACTCTACGTGGGGTCTCAATCCCAAACGGCCAGGGACTGTGTTAAAAATGGCCTTCACGTGTGGCCAGGTTATTCCTGCCATTCCCCATTCCTGGTGGTCACCGACCTGTTTGGCCTGACTAGTGTAGCCTGGGTTCCTGGGTCCCTGTCTCTACCACAATTGGCCAGTGGCCAATGTCCGAGAGCAGATGGCCAGGTGTGGCTTGGCTGACCCTGGATCAAGTTCTGCTCCAGCATGTGGGGACCTGACGCCTTGTCCAGCCAGCTGGGAGCTCAGACCCACACAAACGCCTTGTGTGCTTGGACCATAGCTGCCGTAGAAAGTTCTGGACCCCTCACCCCCGCAGAACCCATGTTGAAGATGAAAGCCTTGGGCACCCCAGAGCGACTCACTTTATTAAAGATGTGAACAAGAACCAGAAGCCAGGCTGGTGTCCTCCCAGGGGTCTGCACGGGGCCGGGATCAATATGTACAGAAGTGTAACACTGTAGAACAGGACAGAGATGTGACGGCAGCAGAGGACAGGCTAACCAGGTGTGAGCTAGGGCATGACCCTGGCCGTGGGACAGACGGGACAGACGGTGAGGTAACTGGTGGGCGTGTCGCCCTGTTCAGGCACCCAGTGGCTAGTCTCCAATGGACGCTGGCAGCCTGGAGGACAGCAGCCCCTGCCTGTTCAGTCTCCAAGGGCACTCCAGAGGCTGCTGTCCCATGCCAGCTCTTCCCCTGGGCTGACAGTTGCTCTGTGTCTTTGTCCCCACTGTGTGGGTTGGAGAAGGCAAACGTGGCTGCTGGACCCGAGGCTGATGGGACAGGAGGTGGCCAGAAGAAGGATGGCTCTTGCATGCTGGTGCCGTGGCCCCAGACATCTCTGCTCCACTCTTGAGTCCTCCCCATGGCCCACATGGGGAAACCAAGGCACCGAGCAGCGTACGTACCACCCAGGGTCTCACAGCGCGTGGTGCTCGGTCTAGAAAGACGCAGAGCAGAACCCCAACCCCAGCCGGAAGTGGGTCCACCGCCATGGCCCTGGCGCAGGGTCACCCTGGGTGCATGGTGGGAATGAGTTGGCGTCCCAGAGCCACCTTGATTGGTCGTGAGGAAGGCCTTCCTGTCCCCTCCCTGCCAGTCACCCACAGGCCAGCATGCCCTGTCTGGCAGGCGAGGTCCTGGATGAGCAGTTAGTGCTGGAGTCCCTGCTGTGACACTGTCCCCGGAGTGGAGGCGACAAGGAGAGCAACAGGCATCCCTTGGACTATGTGGGATTTCGAAGCACTGGAAGGACAGTCGAGATGGGTGGGCACAGCGCCGGCTGGTCCGCCTCGTGGCGTCCCTAGCCAGCCTGCCCGTGCGTGGTGGCAAGCTCGAGTCTGTCTACTCCCCACCATAAAAAGCGCTGGTAGGAGAGGGCAGCGGGTGTCCACGGTTCCTTCCAGGGCCTTCCACCTAGTTTTCAAAACCACTTCTCAGCCTCCTGTGGTGGCACATCCCAGCACTCAGGAGGCAGAGGCAGGTGGACTGCTATGAGTTCAAGGCCAGCCTGGGCTACAAAGCGAGTCCAGGACAGCCAGAGCTACGTAGAGAGACCCTGTCTCAAAAGGGAGAAAAACACCTCTCGGAGCAGGGTCTCAAGGCCTGCTGAAGGAACTGTGTCCCCTGGGAAAACTCCCTCAGGTGGCCCAGGCTACAGGTCCCCTTGCAAAGCGCAGCCCGGTATCCTACAGGAGAGAGGTTGCTGGCTCTCTTTGTAGGAAGGAGTACTCTACCCGGGGTCCTGGGATGGAGGCCCTGGCTACCTTGGGTCTGTATCCCGCTCTCCACCTTGACCCCTGCTCTCCATGCCAGCCCCAGCCTTCCCACCTTGTCTCCAACCCCCACTTTGATTCCAGGCTGTGGCTGATCAAAGCCTGAGGACCTGCCCAGGTCCTGACATCTGGCATCACACACAGCAGGGAAGGACCAGGCTCCCACAGATGGGCCTGCCCCTTCCCACAGACGGTAGCTGCCTGGGCCTGCTCTCCCTGACTCCCTCAGTGCCCAGGACCCATCCAGCCGGCAGCCGGCTAGTCATCAGAGTTAGAGTCCCTCCCATCAGTGAAGGGACTTAGGGTCAGTCACCCTAGGATCACCTTACGGTCACCCTCGGCGATCTCTCGGCGGCCAGGAGTGCTCTGTGAGCAGCATGGCTGCAAACCCTCACCCGGCGCTCCTCAGCCGCCTCTGAGGAAGCACACATGCCTGGCAGAGTCGTTAGCCAATTACCCCGGCACTAACCACAGGCTTCCACCCTACAGGGCGGAGGCGGTCCCCCGGCCAAATGGAGGCGCACTGCTCTCCCCCGCTCCCAGCCTGTCCCCACCTTGGGCAGGCAAGCTCGGTCATCTCCCTAGAGGCAGCGTCCAGCCTCCCACCCGGAGCAGCCCAGGGCAGGTCCTGCATGGGCCCCACAGCTAGTGACCCTCGGAGCGTGGCTGTTCACCCCCTTCCCAGGCCGAGCTCGGGAAACGGCGCCGTGCGTGCCCCGCGGCTGCCAGTCTATAGCCAGTTCCCTCAAGCCCCAGGCGCGGAAGCAAGGGCTGGCTCTAAGGTGCGGAGATGCGAGCGGAACAGGGCCTCTGAGGGCCTGAGGTGGGCCTACTAGGAGCATCCAGCGAGCAGGCCCTCAGGGTGACGGGCCACAGGACGAGGACGGCCTACGCCCCCTACTCCTGGAGGCTGGCTGGAGAGGTGACAGGCGCTTTCTCCACTGCCGAGTCACTGGCCGGCGTGGCCACCGCCATAGGGCTGGGCACGTAGTTGAAAGGGGGGACCCGGGCCGCCCTGCTGGGGGAGCCGTGCCTGCTGGTGGGGAAGCCCCCCGCGACGACGCTCAGGCCCTCGTGGCTGAAGGGCGCGGAGGCAGGCGGCTTGGTGACGGCTGGACCGTCCACGTCGCTGCCCAGCGGAGCAGCGGGGCCGCCGGCCGGGGCCTGCGGGGGGTCCCTGCTCTCCAGGCTGGGCGACGTGCTGGAGTTGGTCTTAGAGGCGGCCACGTCCTCCGTCTGCACCACCGCGTCGCTGGTCTTGCGCTGCGGGGCGCCGGCGGGGCCGTCCTGGGGCGACGGGCTCCTGAGCGGCAGGGCCGTGGCGGGCAGCGTGCTGCGCAGGATGTGCGGGACGTCCTCGTCCCTGATGCGGCGCCAGGTGGTGCCCGGCGCGGCCACCCTGGGCAGCGGCCTGGCCTCGCCGTCGCTGCCCCGGCGAGGGGCGCCCGGCCGGCCGCCGGGGGCGGAGGCGGCGCCGTCCGGCCCGCGCCCCACGCTGATGTGCGGCAGGGACGCGTAGCGCTTGACCGTCTCGGGCCGCGCCGGGGCCGCGCGCACGGGCAGGCGCGAGGGGCTCTCGGAGCTGGTGCGCCTGGGCGCCCGCGGGGCGGCGAGCCCCGGCTTGGCCTGCGGGGACCTCTGCGGGGCCGGGGGCCGCCGCGGGGACGCCCGCAGCTCCTCACAGCGAGAGGAGCAGAGGAAGACGGCGGGGAGCGCGGGCCGGCCGCGGCGGGGCGAGGCGGCCGGGGCCGGGGAGGCCGCGGAGTCCGCGGAGGACAGCTCCGACCTGCGGCGCCGGAGGAGGCCGGGGGATTCCTTGATGAAGGTCAGCTGCCTCCGGAAGCCCGAGCGGTCCGAGGACTCGCTGCCGCTGGAGCGGGCGGAGGCCACGCGCACTAGGCCCAGGCGGCCGCCGCGAGCCCCGGGAGCCCCCTCGGCCCCGGCCCGGCCCCTGGGGCCCGGCTCTGGGGACGGCATGGCCAGCGCCGGTGGCCCTCGCCTGGCTGGCCTTTGCATGAACGGGATCCGAACTGGTGACTTCTGGGTCTTGTGTTGCTTAGCCAGAAGGGCCCGGGCCGGTGACTTGGGCGCCGGGGACCCTCCGGGGCCAGGCAGGGGCCCTCCAGTTGGGGTGGCCAGCGGGGAGCGCCTGGGCAGGGGCTGGGACGCGGGCGAGCTCTGTGAGGAGCTGGAGGACGGCGCCTTGGCCAGGCGGGCTGGAGGGGTGGCGCTGCGCGGAGGGTGGCTCAAGGCCGCCAGTTCAGAGATCTTGCCGGGTCGGTGGAGGCTCCGCGAACGCTGCTGTGCGGGGCTGGGGGCCTTGGCGGCCGTTTCCGGCGGAGCGGCACCAGAGGTCCCCGTCTTCTTGGGTGCCGTACAAGGTCCAGAAAGTCCTCTGGCCTGAGCCCGGGAGGCCGGGCTGGCCGTGTAGATGACCGTCCGCCCCCGAAGCATGGCCGGCTCCCCGGCCGCCGTTTTCTGGGTACCCCTGGCCTTCTCAGGGCCGCCGGGAAGCCGGGCGCTCCCGCCGACCTTGGCGGAGGCTGGGCCACGTTTCTCTGGACGCCAGGCGCTCCCGGCCTCGGTGGCAGGCTTCCGCCCTCTCCTGGGATTGGACGACGGCAGGGTGGAGCCCGCCGACAGCCCGGACACCAGAGACAGGAGGGAATCGGACTCGGAGGAGGCCTCCAGGCTGGTCTTGGCGGCTGCCTGGTGCAGCCACGTGACAATGGAGTTTGCGCCCTCCTGGATGGCCTGCCACTCCACACTGTCTAAGTCGGAGGCGGGGTCGGAGCCAGGCACCTCCTCACGGCATTTTCGGGGTGCCTCGGCGGGCCTCACGTCGGACCGGGCAGCCCTGGGTTTGCGCCGCCTCGAGCCGGGGACCTGGGTGCGGCGCCTGGGCAGGGCCGAGCTGATACACCGCTGCAGCAGTTTCTCCTCGGCCCTCGGGCTGGGAGAGCTGTCCTGTTTGCCGCCCAGGCCGGGGGCCCTGGCGGCTGCCTGCGCCCGGCCTCCCCGAGGGTGGCCGGCCGGCTGCTCTGAGGCCTCGGGCTCACTGAGGGAACTAGCCGAGGAGGTCAGGGAATAGCAGGGGGGCGTCTCATCCACGATCAGCCTGGGCTGGGCCCTCGCGGGTGCCGCGGCGGGCTGCGCCGCCCTAGCTGGGGCCTCCTTCCTGCCCGCGGCTTTCTCGCGCTTCAGAGCCCGGGGGATGGCGGACGCCCTCCGAGGTGGCGGCGCGGCGGCTGGCGGCTCCTCCTCGGAGTCATAGAAGCAGTACACAGCTTCCTCCGTGGGTGTCGTGAGGCACAGGGACTGCAGAGCCCCGTCCCCGCGGCTCCGGGTCTGGCACGCGCCATCCCTGCTGGACGGGGCGCTCTGCGGCCGGCTGAGGGGCAGCTCCAAGCCTGCCCGGTTCCTGCCGGCCCCTCGGGCGGGCTCTGCGCTCTTGCCAGCGCCCGCTGCCTTAGCTCGGTGCCCGCGGGCCTGCCTGGCGGGGGCGGCTCGGCCTGTGGGTTTCTGCCTGTCTGCGGGCCCGCCTGGCTTGTCCCTGGAGGGGCCCTGGAGGGTCTCGTCGCTGAGTGAGGCAGCGCTAGAGAAGTTGACGGGCGTGCCCTCGGCGGAGTCCGTGCCGCCGTCCTCCTCCGGAGCCTGGGCGGGCACCAACATGTACACGGGGACCGGCAGCGCGCGGCGGCCGGGCACCAGGGCCGAGGCCACCTTGTGGAGCCTGGCGGGCACGGCCGCCCCCAGACACTCCCGCAGCACCTCCAGCTCTTTCTCGGCGGCCGACCGAGCCCGAGAGCCAGTGGGCGCCGGGCCGTCCAGGCGGCCCCCGGCCTCGTCCCTGCGGCGGTGCCCGCTGCCACCCGCTGTGCGCTCTGGGCAGGCCGGCGGCCTCAGGCGCAGCTCCACGTCCTGCTGGACGTACAGCTCGTGCAGGGCCAGCGCGCTGAGGCTGGACGCGCAGGAGAAGTTCTCGTCCGGCTTCTCCACCGTGAAGCGCACGCTGCCCGCGTCCAGCTCCGACGGCGGCTGGCACCTCTCCCGACAGTCGGCGATGTCGAGGAAGCGTTTCACGTAGCTCTCCCACTGCAGGCTGAACCGGCTGGTCTCGGGCTGGCCGGGAGGCGCCGGCGGCGTCTTGCTGCGGCTCGGTGGCATCGTCTGCCCCGGGCTGTCGGGCAGCTCGCTGGGACTCACCGTGCCACTGCCCAGCCCGCTGCACGGGTCGCTGGGGATGGAGCTGGCGATGGAGCGGCTCTCGAAGCTGCCCAGGGAGCTCACGGAGCTACAGCGGCTCAGGACCAAGGGCGTCTCCTGGACGCAGTTCTCCGACGAGCTGGATGGTGTGGCGTCCTCCACCCCGAGGCCCCGGCTGCGCCCCCGGCAGGGCGCTGGGATGGACACGGGCAGAGAGGTGGACCCCGATGCCCGCCACGCCCCGTCCAGCTCGGCCTCTCCGGGACCAGCCTCCTCAAGCCCCTCCAGGGATGAGTCGCTGTCGTCAAGGTTCCCGGCCTGGCTGGGGCCGGCGTGGCCGGCGGAAGACAGAGAGGACAGAGAGCTACACCGAGACAGGGTCAGCGGCCCGTCCTGTGCCACCAGCTTCTGCAGCACCCTGCTTGCCACGGGCAGCGGGGGGGCCACCAGTTTCTCGGGGACTTTGCTCAGGCTGTCCGCAGGCAGCCACGCCTGCTTCCGGGCCCCCGGGGAGGCTCCCGGGCCCGAGAGGGGTCTGACGCCGGTGCCGGCGGCACCGTCCAGCAGTGGCACGTGCTGATAGGTGGGGGACAGCTTGATGGTGCGCACGCGGGCGGCTGCCGTGTCCCGGGCAGGCGGCTCGCTCCGGCCGGGGAGATCCAGGTCCAGCCGGCTAGGCCGAGTCTGCCCACGCGTGGGGTCGCCACGGTGCTCGGCCAGCGCAGCCAGCGGGCAGGGCCGCATGTGTTCCCGGGGACAATAGCCATCGCTCGTGCTACCGCTGTTGAGGCTGTCGTTGGAGAGGCTGGTGTGGGCCGCCTTGAGCCTCAGCAGAGGGTGCGCCCGGCCGCCGGCCTCGCGCCGCCCGCCCTCGGTGCCCCGGCACGGAGAGCACGACTGGGCGCGGCCCTCCCTCGGTGCCGGGGCCTCCTGCCCGGGGTCCCCCGAGCTGAGGCTGAAGCTGTCATCCGATGAGGTGTGCAGGGCAGAGATGTCCTCCACCAGCCGGTCGATCCGAGCCACAGCCAGCGCCAGCTTGGCCTTGGCCTTGGCGGCCACGGCCGCCTCCCCGCCGCCAGCCTCCTTCTCGGTCTCTAGGCCACCCTGGCGGGCGGCGGGGGCGCGCGCCAGCGCCTGGCCCTGGAGGAAGGGGCCGCCCAGGAACATGGACAGCACCGCCGGGCTGCCGGGCTCGGCCGTGGTGGCCGCGGCGGCCAGGGACGGCGCGTCGTCGTCGTCGAAGCAGCCGGAGTCCGAGGCGTAGTCCTGCACCAGCCCGTCGAGGTGGCGCAGCGGCGGCGGGGCCTTCTTCGACGCGGCCTCCGCCTCGGGCAGGCCCTGCTTCTCCAGGTGGCCCAGCGCGTGCGCCAGGTGCCGGGCGTCCAGCTCGGCCTCCAGAGCCCGCTGCTTGCGGACGTACAGGCTGGGCACGCAGCTGCCCGGGGACACGGCCGCGGCCGCCGCCTGGTACTTGGCCGGCCGGTGGGCCAGCAGGTTCCGCAGGGCCGCGGCGCTGCCCATGGCGATCATCTTGTGCTTGGAGTGCACCAGGTTGCGCAGCATGCCCACGGCCCCCAGGTCCCACAGCAGCTCCTGGTCGCGCGGGCTGCGGGCCGACAGGTTCCACAGGGTGCCGCACGCGTTGCTCACGATGGTCAGGCTGTGCGACGTGAGGTGCTGCAGCAGGGTCTGCAGGCAGTTGTGGTCGCGGAGCACCTGCCTGGGGAGCCCGGGGAGAAGGCGGGTGGGCAGGGCGCTCCGGCCGCGCCCACCGTCCGCACCGCGCCACCAGCCCGCTCCGGGAAGAGCTCCCGCAGGGGGCGCCGGCCGCAGCCCCAGCTCGGCCACGCCCACCCTGCCGGCCACACCCTCGACCACGCCCGCCCGCCCCGCGCAGCCCCAGCTCGGCCACGCCCACCCTGTCCGTCACGCCCACCCGCCCCGCACTGCTCCAGCTCGGCCACGCCCACCTGTCCGCCACGCCCCTCCACTCGGCTGCGTTACCCCCGCCTGCTAGTCAGGCCGAGGGTTAGCCACGCCCCTGCTCGCTACGCCCACCACGCCCGGAGCCGCCCGCTTTGGCCTTGTCCACTCTTTAGGTTGGAACTTAGAAAGAAACGAGCTAGCTCTGGCCTAGTCGCGCCCACGCCGCACTGTAGGAGCCGGGGCAGCTGTTGGTTTCCGGCTTTGTTTGGAGACAGCCTCAGAGGGAGCTTTTTTTGTTTGTCAGAACCGGGTCTCTCTGTGCAGCCCTGTAGACTAGGCTGGCCTCGAACCCAGAGATCTGCCCGCCTCTGCTCACACCACTGCCCATTTGTTTGCTTTTAAGGGTTAATTTTTTTAAGTTATTACTTTTTAGTTTCAGGTGAATCGGCGTTTTTTGCACATCACGTGTGTGCCAGAAGGGGGCGTCAGACCACCCGGAACGGGAGGTACCTGTGGCTGTGAGCCACCCACCCTGAGCGCTGGCGGTTCCAGCCGGGTTCTCAGTACATAGGTGCTGTAACTGAGAAACACCCATACCTCATCCCCCATCCCACCCCCACTCGGGGAGGCAGAGGCAGGCACATCTCCGTGAGTTCAAGGCCAGCCTGGTCTGCAGGACCGCGGCTATACAGAGAAACCCTATAAACAAACAAATAAATGGAAGATCTCACCTGATAGCCCTGACTAGCCTAGAACCTGCTCTGGAAGGTGGGCTGGCCTCCAGGGGCCGGGCCGAGCGTGCCCTGCCGCGTCCATCTCGGTATGAACACTATCTAGTAAGGTGGTTCGCTCTATGTGTGTGCGTGTTTGGCCTGCATGCTGGCCTGGTGCCCACCGAGGCGCGGAGCGGACACAGAATCCCTTGGGACAGCTCTAACCACAGAGCGGTCTCCGCAGCCCCACAATCCGAGGTGGGGGTCTCCCCTTCACGGTTCCTGCCTCTGCTCGCACCCTGAGCTGCTGCCCTCGCTGCCCTCAACAACGCGCACTATGGAGACATACAGGCCAAATAAGCCTTCTCCTCGCCGGGCCGCTGGCGTTAGAACCGGCTCTAAGCAGGAGCCGGGCGCCATGGCGCGGCCTTTACGCCCAGGACTGCGGGAGGTGGAGGCGAGCGCATCGCTGCGAGGCCAGGACAGCCGAGGAAACGGCCGCTCTCAGTCCACCCGAGGACAGCGCGCCCCCGCAGCCCGCCACCCCCTCGCCCCGTGGCGGCTGACCTGTAGTCCTCTCGCGTGGCGATGAGGCTGGACACGTTGCGCAGGATCCCGCCGCCGCTCTCGATGACCGCCAGTGAGTTCCCTTGGCAACGGTAGGTGAGGGTGCTCACCAGGAAACCCAGGGCGCCGTCCACCTGGCAGATGGCGGCCTTGTTCTCTGTGCTATGCGCAGACAGGTTCCACAGCGCGCTGAGCACGCTCTTTAGGGTGGACTCCTGCGGCGGGAGGCAAGGGTGGTCAGCATGAGAGGGTGAGGCCGCTCACGGCTGCAGCGCGGCCACACCACATGTACAAAATGCTGCAAAAGTAGTTCTTTGGAAGAGCGGCCGCCTAGAATCCCCCAGGGAGGGGCTGGGGGCGTGGTCAGGGCGGAGCCCCGCCTAGAATCCCCCAGGGAGGGGCTGGGGGCGTGGTCAGGGTGGAGCCCCGCCTAGAATCGCCACAGTGAGGGCTGGGACCATGGCTCATTGGGCGTGTGAACGACCTGCCCCGTTGTCTTTCCCACTCTGGGTCTGCGGTGGCTCCCTCCGACCTCCCCGATCCCAGGCCACCCTGCAGTGACATTTTTGAGGCTTCTTTTTTAAAAACACGCAAGTGTTATAGGAATGTGCTGCCTTCTTAATCCCTGGTGTGGGGTCGCGGCGCTGCTTCACACTGACCGAGCAGCTGCCTGCTTTGCCTCGTGCTCTAGCAGAAGCATGGTTTTGCTGTAGGCAGTTTCTGCGATTGCGTGACATTTGGAACTCTGGGCCCCGAGAAGCAGGGTTGGTGGTTTTGGGTCACTTAGGGAGGTTGGTTGTGGTTTGCTAGTAGCCACGGTCAAAGAATAAATAGAAGGAAGGAAATTGGGGCTCTCCTGATGCCTCCCTGCCTCCATCCTTGCTTCTCGCGTTGGGGGGTGAAGGCGGTGGGGAGGCAGGGTGGGGAAAGGAAAGCCCGGCGGTCAGCGCGAGCGGCGGCCCGCTCACCTTGTGGGCCCGCAGTGCACACTCCGTGAGGGCCGTCATGCTGCCCACCTCCCTCAGCACCTTCTTGCTGTTGAGGTCGGCTCTCCAGGAAAGGTTACGCAGGATGCTGGACACCACCTGGCCAGGAGAAGGGCGGCCTCAGTGGACCCAGGCCCAAGGGTGTCACCTTCCCCTCCACGGCGGCCCCGGAAGGCGGCCGGGGACACAACTTGGGGTGTTACTCATAGAAAGGGTCATGCCGAGACCTCAGCTTGGCCAGCCTGGGGAGCAGCCAGGCCCGCCCGTCCTGCGTACCTGGTGCAGCTCCTCGCTCTCAGAGCCCAGCTGGGCCACGATGGCTTCCATGCAGCCTCGGCGGGCACAGAGTGTGGCCTGTCGGGACCGACACGGAGCCGTTGAGGTCACAGCAGCAAAGACAAGGGACCCTTGTCCTTTGCCCCCTTCCCCCCACTGGCCAGCTAAGGAGAGTGGGCCTCAGACAGGCGGAGGCATCCGGATTCTGCCAGCCCAGAGGCCATGATGGTGCGGACGGCTGTCCCTGGCAGAAGCTGGTGTGGCTGCCATCTCAACGGAAAACTGTCTCACCTCCCGCCCACTCCGGACCCCATCACCTGTCTTCTCTGCCCCTCTGTATGCTGGGGGTATCTGTGCCCACCTCTTAGGAGCGGATCTGGACTGAGGTTGGGTGGAGAAAGTCTCAGGACGGCACCCGGAACCCTGCCCATCCTCCCGCCACCCCTGGGAACCTACCTTGTTGGCAACATCTCCAAAAGTGAGGTTGGTGAGGGTCATGCCAGCGTAGCGGCGCAGGGCAAGGTTGAGCGGGTCCTGGGTCATCTTGTGCATCTCGTAATCCACCTGCAGCAGCTCTGCCACGGCCTGGAGCCCCCCTGTTAGCGTGGGAAAGACAGCTCTGTGACAGAGAGGCTGAGGCCGGCAGCAGGGGTTCCTGTTTGTTTGTTTGTTTTGTTTTGAGACAGGGTCTCTCTGTGTAGCTCTGGCTATTGCAGAACTCACTCTGTAGACCAGGCTGCCTTCCAACTCACAGAGACCCGCCTGCCTCTGCCTCCCGAGTGCTGGGGTTCAAGATGTGCGCCACCACTGCCCGGCCGGTCCCAGTCCCTCCCGCACACACCACCCTCCCAATCCTCCATACCATGGCATCTAGAGGGGCCAGTCAACAGCTGTGTAAGGCCCGGGAGGGGACCCGAGGGGGACACTCACCAAGCTCATTCATCGCCCGGCGGTATTCCTCATCAAAGGACAACTTCATCACCGCACAGGTGGCCTGGCAGATCTGAGGTTCGATGGGGACCGGGGCTGTGGGCAGGGATGAGGTTAGCTGCCCACCCCTGGACTGATGTCCCCGGGTGATACCCAAGCCCTCCCTTGTCTCTCCGCATGCTGTCTCTGCTGCTTCAGAATCTGTGGCTTGTCACACACTCCCTGACTAATGGCCTCTGTCCAAACGTCTCAAGGCAGCGGAGCTGGTGCTGCTTGCACACCTGCATAGCAGAGACAGGTAAACAAAACCTGCCGCTGCGCAAGGGGCACCGGCCTGTAACCTTAGAGCCCCTTTGGGCTAGGGCAGGAGGGTCACAAGTTCAAGGCCAGCCTGGACAAATTAGTGAGAACGGGTGGTCCACCTTGGAGTTACAGGCCTCACCTAGAATCCCCCAGGGAGGGGCTGGGGCCGTGGTCAGGGGTAGAGCCCCTGCTTGGAATAACCCAGTGAGGGGCTGGGTGGACAGACTCTTGTTCACTCCTTTGCCCCACCGGCTAAAGGTCCCTCGGATTCAGCTAGACACAGCAAGAAGGTGAAGGCCCCGATGGTTGGCCACCCCCAGCCTGTCCCAGGCCCGCGGCTGCTGTGCACTCACTGCCTCCGGTCCCACTGTCTGTCCCGCTGTCGCGCGCCTGGAGCCAGTCCCAGCAGGTCTCGCAGTAGGCCCGGATCTGCTCTAGCACGTGCAGCACACGCATCTCCTTGCGCGCCAGGCCCTGATCCGGCTGGGAGAAAACGATGTTATGCAGGGCTGCGTTGGCGCGCATGCGTGCATCTTTGGCACCGGGTGCTCCAGGGGTCCCGGTGCGGACCCCAACCCCGGCCTCAGTGCCGTGAAGGATCTGGAGCAGCAGCGGCAGACAGCCCGAGCGGCGCATGGCCACGCAGCTCTCCGGCGAGCTGGACATGGCCAGCAGCGTGCGCGCAGTGTCTTCCTGGTCTCGAGTTGCCAACATGGATAGAAGCCAGAACACCACCTCCACCTACAGGGGGCACGGGACGGCCGCAGGTTCACAGCGGGAACTGTGCTCCGCCACCTCCGGCCACAGGGGTTGTTGCCTGGGGCCACTCGCCCCAAGCCACCGGCGGTCCAGCCTCGCTTTCCCTACTCACCTTGCTGTTGCCAGGCTGAGGGGCGCCATCTTCAGGGTGCGTGGGGACTTCCGCCTCCTGGTCCTCCTCCACCGTCACAGGCTTCACTGCCAGCAGAGCCTGCGGGAAGAGCATGAGGCCAGGGGGTTCAGGCTGCAACACACAAGGGTTGCAGACCCCTTCCTGGGCGCAGGAGAGGGGAAGGCCACTGAGCTGCTGGCATCTGTCATCACCCCTCCGGCCCTGACTCCGCTCGTCGGGGTACCTGGGGTTCCCTCTGCTGCACCCGGTCCTGGGCTTCCAACAGCTCCTTGTCAATCTGCTCCAGGCGCGAAGCGCGGATCTGGAGCACAGAGAAGGGGAAGAAAAGGGGCAACCTTGGCTGACCCCGCCCCCAACTGACCCCGCCTCCCCCATCCTCGACTCCTCCCATCTCTGTCTGCTTCTCAGCCTGGCCGCCCACTCCTCCAGTCGGTGCGCCCGCCACTCCCCGATGCCCCCACCCCCCCCACCCCGCACCTGCGCGCGTTGCACCATCTCGTCCGAGGTGCCAAAGCGCTCTTCCATCAGCGAGCGGATGTGCTGGGCCTCGAACTCCAACTGCTGCCGGATCAGATCCATCTGCATGGAGAACTGCCGGGAGAAGGCACGGGCTGCGGTGAGGCGCCACCCTGCCCCTCCTCCAGGCCCCGCCCGTTAGCCGGGCGCGCCCCGGGAGCTCACCGTGTCCACGTGCGGCAGCTCATCCAAGCGCTTGGACAGGCCCTGGAGCTGGGAGTAATACCACAGCTTCTCCTTCTCCTCCTTCTCTATCTCGCTCAGCAGGAAGCATCTGGGGGAGGGGCGCGGGGGGCCTCCTTACAGATGGCATTAGCAGGGACCCCCCCAACCCCTGCCCCCAGCTCTGAGGTGGGAGCTGGAAGGAACTGAGTGGGTTAAGAAAAGCTAACTGGAAGAGAAGAAAGCAATCCTTAGGAGGCTGAGGCCGGAGGATATCGGGGTTTGAGGTCAACCTTGACCTCAGAATGTAACCCTGTCTCAAAACGAGGGTTCAGCGAGATGGCTCAGCAGGCACAGGCACTTGTGGCCAAGTCTGAGGACAGAAGTTCCATCTTCAGAACCCACACGATGGAAGGAGAGAAGGGGACTTCAGCAAGATTTCCCTCTGACCTACACGCACACTCGAGCACACACAAATAAATATAAATGTAATTTGAAGAAGTTAAAAGCAGCAGAGCTGTGGGATTGTGTGCCTGCCATCCCAGCACTTTGGGAAGGGATCTTGACCAGCCCTGGCTACATAGCAAAGTTGAGGGCTACCTGAAAGCCTAGTCTCAAAAAATAAAAATAAAAAAAGATAAAATAGCCAGGCAGTGGTGGTGCACTCCTGGAATCCCAGCACTCGGGAAGCAGAGGCAGCCAGATCTCTGTGAGTTCAAGGCCAGCCTGGTCTACAGAGAGAGTCCAGGACAGCCAGAGCAGTGTAGTCTCAATCAACAAACCAAACAAACAGATAAAAGGGAATTCTAGAAAGACTGGGAGGCTTCAGGGCTCTAGAGCTCTCCAACACCCAATCATATCCGGTTTACCAACCAGGGGTCAGGCCCACAAGTCCTTCTTCACAGCTTGTCACATGGCACTGGAGAGGCTGAGGCTGGAGGACTGTGGCTAGACTCTATGCTGAGACCCTACTTCTCCTTCTTCTTCCTCTTCTTCTTTGGTTTTTTTCGAGACAGTGTTTCTCTGTGTAGCTCAGGCTGGCCTCAGACTCCCAGAGGTCCACCTGCCTCTGCCTTCCTGAGTGCTGGGATCACAGGCGTGGCACCGCACCCAGCAGACACCCCTCTTCTTAAAATGTTGGTTTAAATAGCCTGGGAAGTTGGCAGAGTGGGCGGAGGACGGGTGAGCAAGCCTGACTGTCTGAGTTTGACCCTGGATCTCTGGCTGTTCTCTGACTTCCACACCTGTGCTGTGGTGCTCCCCAAAGAATCAAATGTGGTCGGGGAGCCAAAAAGGAAAAAAAAAAAAAAAGAGAGAAGCCATCAGCAACTAAAACGACCCCTATTTTATGGAGCAGAAGTCTGAGGAAGCAGTGCAGGGCAGGCTTAAAATCACAGCTTGTCCACCACCCATTGGGCTGACCTCATGAGGCTCAGACAGGCTGAGCTGGGTTGTCCCCTCCAGCGCTGTCCCCTCCGCTGGCCCTGGGCCCAGAATTTTTGGGCTTCTGTCCTTCCATCAACAAAGGCCTCCTTGAGGATCTCTGGCGTTAGGCCGGATTCTGAGCCCTGACTTTGGATGTGGCTCTGTCCCTAGAGACGCCTGCATGTCTGGGACCTGGGGGTGGGGGGGCTCCTTCTCCCAGGAGCCTTTCCCCCGGTTGCCTGGAATGTCCCCCATCCTCTGTCCTCCGGCTGGGGTTCAGCCAGACAGGAATAGACTGGAGATGGAATGGAAGGGCCTGGCGGTGGGTGTGACTGGCTTGGGGGCGTGACCACAAGCCAGCGAGCCAATCAGAGGGCAGAGGTTCTTGGGGACGGGTCCTTTCCAGCGCCCTCTTACCGCTCCTGGTCTAGCTCTTCCAGCAGGCGGATGGTGGCTCGGCTCAGCTCCCCGAAGCTGTCCTTGGATGGCCCAGGGCCGTGCACTGGGCTTCCCTCTGGGGTCCGGGCAACAGGCTCAGGGCCCAGGGCTGGGGGCTGAAACTTTAGGTTGTAGAGGCTGCTGATGTCAGTCTGAAGAGCTGGAGGGAGGGAGTCACCGGTGAGGGTCAGCAGCCTGCCCCTGCTATATGCCCCTGCTGTCCATGGGCATTCCTGAGGGCACTCACCTTTCAGTTGCTCTAACACTTCTGTCTGCCCGGAGGACACCAGGACGCGCGCCTCCTGCTCCAGCTTGCCCTGAAGGTGTTTCAGGACCTCCTGCGGGCATGGTAGGAAAAGGGATGTGACCATCAGGGCCGCCTGGGCACACAGACATCCGTCACCCTGCCAGTCTATGTGCCCTGGGGACCCCTCTCTCGGCCCTCCCAAGACATCGGTGCTTTTGAGTTTGCGTCTCTGACCCATGGCCTCCACGCAGGCCCTCACCTTCATGCCCGAGGTCTCTGTCTCCAGCTTGGAGAGGTGAGTGGAGTTATCTCTCAGCTCCTGCCGTAAGTGTGTGTTCTCGGCCTTCAAGGCCTCCACCTGCCGAACCAGCTGCTCGTAGGAGGCCATGGAGCTGGTCATCTTCAACTCCTGCAGTGCCTGGGGCCAAGGAGACACAGAGTGGGAGCTGGTCACTGGTGCCCCTTCAGAGAGTCCTGGCCCCAAGTCCAGCCTGTCCTGGGTGTGCATGCCAGGCAGCAGCTGCTGTCTGGTGTGAAGCGATTACCAGCATTTGAGACTGACAGAGAGAGAGGGGAATCCAAGCTTAGAGCTCTGTGTGATACATACGAGACTGATGGCTGGACAGACACCTGCACTGACAGACAGAGGGACACACAGACATCTGTCGCCCTGGCAGTCTAGGTCAGCAGGTGGATGGGCCACCTGGAGGCCACCAGGCTCACAGACTGACACAGGAGAAGGTGGCAGCAGACAGACAGACGGACAGACAGTCAGGACTGGTTCCCCACTGAAGCACAGGTTTCCCAGGCTGGCAGACACACAGGGGAGGATGGGTCACTCTGGCACAGAACACCGAGAGCCAAGGAGCCCTGGCTAAGAGAACCGTGGGCAGGAGGCGGTGGACAAGACCCGGACTCACGGCAGTCACCCCAGGGATTTCAGTCCTGACAGAGAAAGGGTTTGAGGAGCAGGATGCCCTGTAGTCCCTTGTCCCTCCATTCATGCAAGGTTCCCCATGCCTCTGCTCATGGCTCAGCGCCTCTGTTCTGGCCTGAATACCATGCCCGTCCTGGGCTTGGTCACAGGCCAGCTCTTTGTGCTTCCGTCCGTCTTTTTTCTCGGGTCCAGCCTCCTCCTTCAGCTTGGCTCTCCCTCCATGGCCATCCTGAAACCCCCCCCCAACAGTCCCTCTTCCGTCTTTGTTCCCCTCCATCTGCGGGCGCCCCCTCCCTCCGCCTTTGTCTGAGGTCCACCAATAGCATCGCGCCCCATCTGCCGCCTCCTCCCTGGGAGCCCCCTCTCCTCAGTCTTGAGACTTCATCCGAAGCAACCCCACCCCACCCTGCCAGGTGATGCTTGATCCTTTGTCGTCGTCCCCCCCCCCCGCCCCATAATCTAATGCTCATTTCTCCTCCTTCTCTGGAAAGCCCTTGCCCACCCTGATGTCACTCAGGGCATGGGCGGAGGAAACCAACGAATGTCTGGGGGACTCAGTCCCCCTCCTTCCATCCTGCCTGGGACCTGCTGTGGACCTAGCCATGCCTTCTGTCTTCTTTCTACAAAAGACCTAAATCTTAGCTCTCCCCAGGAGAGAGAAACTGAGGTTCAGGGCTGGAGAAGTGGAGGATGGAGGGGGGGAGGGGAGACATGTAATCAGATCCTAGACCCTGAGATACCCAGATCCGAGCAGTCACCCAGGTATGGTGGCACACACCTGCCATAGCCCAGCATTCAGGAGATGGAGCCAGGAAGATCAAGAATTCAAGGCTAGCTTAGGGTACATACTGAGTTCATGGCTAGCCTGAGCTACGTAAAACTCTGTCTTAAAAGACCAAAAATTAAAAAAAAAAAAAAACAAAAACAAAAACCAGATCGGTCCTCTCTCCACGCCTCTGTGTGTCTATCTAAAGGCGGGGAACATCTACTCTGGCCACCCGGGATAGCTGATGGGAGGTCCCAAGGCCTCATTGTTAAGCTTACCCAAGCCAAATATGGGGTGTCTCACGTAGGGTCAAGGCTCATATCTAATGTAGCCCCGGGTTGGAGTGAAGGCACCCAAGCCATGCCCAGCCAGGAGGAACAGGCGAAGCTCGGCAGGCGTTCCCATCCCCACAGCCCGCGTTTGTCCTCAGTCCATACCACTGCGCTACCACCCTCCAAGCCGGGTGCATCGAGTCCGACCCCCCTCCCCCGCCTCTGCACCCCTCTCACGGGGCTGCTCCTCCCAGCCTCTTCCCGCCTGCTACAAACCGAATTCACATTCCCCTCCAGAGGGAGCCATGAGCTCAGCTCACAGGTCGGGCGGAGTCCATCCTCCTAGTGCTCCCAGTGCCCTGGGGATAAACCCTGACACCCCTCCTCCCAGGCACACAGGGATTCCCTGGGAGCCAAAGAGAGCGGCACCGTGTCCTCAGGTTCGCGCCTGAGGCCTTTCCCGACTCCTGTAGCCCACATCCTCCATCTTCCTGCAGAAAGCCCTCCAGTCTGCCCCTAACCCCAAAGCTCTGTCAAGTGGCCATCAAGATGACAGACAGGGAGACGGCAGTAACGCGATGTGGCTCCGCTGAGAGTGATTCAGAGGAGGGAGGGGCTCGTCTCTGAATCCGCATCATCCCATCCCCTTTACAGAGAGGAAAAAGAACAGACCAGAGACACACAGCACCTCCCCAGGGACGTATCCTGCTCTCCAACTCTCCTCCACTCCTTACACATCATCTCCAAAGGATCCGGTGTGGAAGCCGCGTGCGCGTGCGTGTGTGTGCGTGTGTGGGGGACCAGCCTCAGCGACTCAGATGCCTGCCTGTCTCATCCGGACTCAGTTTCCCCTCAGTTCCGATTCTGCGCTTCAGTCCATACTGACAGGGCGCGGCAGGGCGCGCCCCTGCCGTCCGCCCAGGGGAAGACGCATGGCTTACTTGCATCTGGGCTAGCTGTGAGGCCTGGGGCCTCCTGCCTCCTCTTGGCTAGGCCTGGAAGCCAGACCTGGGTGTCTAGGTCTCCGCCGGTCTCAGCAGCACAGACAGAGGGGGTTGTTCCGGGGGACAAAGCCGGATCCCGGCCTGGCCAGGCGGCGCTGCCGCTCCCGGCGCTGGGCGAGACCACCGCAAGCGAGCGGGGGAGGATGCGGGATGCGGGATGCAGGTGCCTGGACCAATGGCGGTGCGGAAGACGAGCTGGTGCCATGGCGACAGCCAATAGTAACCCAGGGCGGGGACCCGTGCTGACTGCAGGGCGGCAGGCCTGCTCTGGGGCTTAGGGGCAGATAGGGGGGCATTGGGATTGACAAACCCCTTACTAAGGGGGAAAAGGGCACCCCAGAACCAATGCCTCGTGCAAACCATCGATTTGGTAAATAGTACACCGAAGCCTTAGGGGAAGAGGACCACTCAACCCACCTGCCAGGCCTGGAGGTGTCAAGACAGGAAAGGGAGACAAGCAAAGCCAGAGTGCCCTGAGGTCCTGAGTGCCCTGGGACTTGGAAGGTTGGGAAATGGGCTGGAGAGAGATTGGCAACCCCTCTCCATCTTTCTCCACTCCCCTAGCAGAGCATCAGAGCCAGGACCTGCCATTTCAGGTGACAGTTCCTCTCTGTGACTCCTCTATGTCCCCTTCGGTCTCTCTCCATCTCTGACTATCTGATGCCCAAAGATTCCTTGAAGGGTGCCCCTGAGGCCGTAACCTGCAGAGCCCGGGGCTGGAGAGATGGTTCAGGGGTCAAGAGTGTATATTACTCTCCCATCGGACACAAGTCCGGCTCCCAACAGCCAGGTCCAGTGGCTCACGGCTGCCTGGACCTCCAGTTCCAAGGACCCCTCCCCTCCAGTGACTGCCTGCACCTGCTCCTGTGCTTACACCCCGGTCTACAGCTCTGAGCAGTCCAAGGCAGCCAGCCCCGCTCACAAGGTTGTCAGAGCTGAAGAGATGACTATGCAGCCTACAGCGGGGTTTTCCCCACAAACCACGGTGCTCCTGCCCCTCTGTGCATGCGAAGGGGTCACAGAGGGCACCGGGCCGGGCAGGGGCCACCACCCCACAGTGTTTCTAGGCAGTAACAGCCAAGGGCACCAGGGGCCGAAAGGCTTCTGTCCGAGACCCATCTTAGGCCTGCAGTTGCTGTAACAAAAACCTCCAGCCAGCCGGCATCTAGAGTCAGCCACGGCTGGCCCTGCTGCCCGGGAGGAGGTGGCAGAGGGGCTCTCGCTGGAGGTGGGGAAGGCTGTCCTTCATGCCTGTCATTGCAGCACTGAAGCTGAGGCAGGAGGACTGCAGGGAGTCCAAGACCAGCCTGTGCTGTCTCAAAAATAACAGGGCTGAAGAGGGATGTGGCATGGGGCAGAGCTGACTAGCTGGGGTCCGGGAGGGGCCCACGCCTGAATGGAAGAAGGAACAGGGCTTGGTCGGGCATGGCGGGTGTCTGGCACTGCAGTGGAGTCGGGGTCATGAGGTTCGGCCAGGGCAAGCAAGGCTGGGAAGGGCCTCATAATTCAGGTCAGAGCCGAGCAGGGCTGGAGTCAGAGCTGAGTCGCTACAGAACCCAGAGCCTCTCGGCTCCGGTTCTGCCTTCATCTCCTGTCTTGACCTTGGGAGTGACGGTGTCTGGCTTGGGTGTCCCTTCTCCCCTGTTCCCTCCCGGACAGGACAGCACAGTTTGACAGGTCCTTTCTCTCGGAAGAGACCTGGTCTGGGAAAGGAAGACTGGCCGCTTCCCCCAGAGAAACTGAGGCTTGGGCTAGGAAACACTCAGATCCCAGTCAGGCCTCTGGAGAGGATGGACTCTCCTGCCCGCTCTCCTTGGAAGGCTACGGGGGACCCTTAGGCAAGATGCTTTTAGCCCCAAACCTTTACAGCATTCCCCACTCCCATCCCCTCCTTGCCGGATGAGCCACGGTCCCCAGGCACTCGAGGCCCAACCCGCACCTGCTGCAGAGTGCCCAGGCCTCAGCCTCAGGGTACTCCAGCCTTCCCAACAGGCTCTGTGCACACGGGGACCTCTCTCTGTGACGCTGCAGTCTGACCCTGCTGGTGTCCTCTTGGTGTCCTTCCGTCCAGCCTCCCCCAAGTGGGCTCCATTGGGTGTGGGGTGGCCTCAGAGGTAGCTTCACGACCACATGCTGGTCATCATTTGGGCATGCTGGGTGCTGGGTGACCTGGCACAGCCTAACGGGGAGGAGTTAGCAGCTGCTGGACCACGGTAACGGACCTCAGTGTCCCCAGAGAGGAGCAGGCTGACGACCCTGGGCAGCCCCTTCTGAAACCCCTAGCTTACAAGCTTTCCTTCGGCTCAATCATGTGACCTTGGGCGGCTTAGCTGTGCCCTAGCCTCAGTTTCCCCTTACGTGGCCGAACTGCAGTAAAGCAGGGCCCAGGAATGTCATGGTTAGTGGACACTGGATAGGTAGGCCCTAGCTCAGCAGTGTCCACAGAGAAACCGAGGCCTAGCAAGTGCAGGGCGTGGTCGGGGCCTGCATCCTGCGCTGGCTGGAGCCCGAGCTCGGTGTGCCGCAGCTGCAGCTCTCTGTCCCCAAACCTGCAGGTCTTCCAGGAGAGGGGAGAGGGTCTCCTGCTCAGGGATGCTCCAGCAAGGAAGGCCTGCGCTTGCGCAGGACCCAGGAGGGGTCGCTGCGGCCCAGGGGAGGGGAGCCCAACCTCATGCACATGCTCAGGCAGTTTCCTTGGCAACTGTCTCCAGAGCAACTATGAAAGACCCCCAACCCAAGTCGGCTAGCTCAGCCAGGTGTCCTCTACTGTCCCGGGGGCTACGGTTCCCACAGTCAAGACCCCACCTGGCAGTCCGGGCACCGCAATCCCCACCCAGGACTCCCTGCACCCTACCTGGTCCCCGAAGAAGGCTGACTGCAGGAGGCTCAGGAGACCCAAGAGCCCCATGGAGCCTCGGCCGGACAGCAAGCGCCCCGCCTTCGGCCGCAGAGAAGGAAGGGGGCCAGCACTGCGCCTGCGCACAGACATGGGCGGGAGGGGGTGTCACTCTACTAATGAGGGTTGACTGAGGATGTAGGACAGAGACCTCCTTGGGCAGAGGGACAACGCGCATTTCTAATGAACCCGGGACCGGAGGGGGGGGAGACCCTAAGGGCTGCAAGCTGTCCAAGGGGCTCACGTTGAAGAGGATGGGTCCCATGGCGAACCCGGGTGTGTAGGAGCTAGAAGCGCCACCCTGTGGCTGGGATACCATGCGTCCGTGTGGGGACAGTCACCTGGGTTCCCAGATCACAGCTTATTTGCTGGGGCGCAGGGATGGAGGGGATACTCAGGGGACGGATGGGGACTGTCATGTAAACATCATGGAAACACGTACCATGTGCCCGACACTGTACAAGGGCTAACAGGTCTAACCCTGGTCTTTGGCTACTTAGCATAAGCAAAAGGTCAGCCTCATGGGGCGGCACACGCCTTTAAACCCAGCACTCGGGAGGCAGAGGCAGGTGGTCTCCGAGAAGGGGAATACATGTCCGATGTTGTGGTACACAAACATTTTATTTGTTCCAGGTGCCTGGCATGTGGCATAGCTTGGCAGATGGGATGGTGCAGAGAGGGGAATGGATATGGAGGAGGAACACTGTGAGATGGGGGCTGCCTCTGCCAGGAACTGGGCCAGGAGGGGCACCCGTGTCTGCACAGTGGGATAGGTGGGGCAGCTCTCCAGGGAAGCACACTAGGCAGATGAGGAAAACCAGGAGCATAGCCTGGTACTGTGGGTGAAGCTGGTGACAATAACCCCAGAGGGATCAGCAACTAAACAAAGGCCATGCTTGTTGGGGACCCAGGTCAGTGCCCAGTACCCACACACTTTGAGCCCTCCTGAGGGAGGAGGATAAGCTTGCTTGGCTTGCATCCCCAAAAGTTCTCCAGGAAACGGTACAAGACTGAGCTGGCTGGCTACTACCAACTTGGTATTGTGTGCCTTTAGTGCCAGCACTGGGGAGGCAGGATTTGACTTGGAGGCCAGCCTGGTCCACAGAGCTACATAAGGCTACAGAGAAATCCAGACTTGAAAAAGCAAGACAAGCCTGTTCAAGTGTGTATGCAGGCTCTGGTGATGGGATGGTGTTCGGAACCCCACCACTAGCTGGGAGGGCCCACACCTCAGGCCCGGGGGCGGCCGGAGTGCTCGCCCACTGTCACTCTGCAATTGTCTTCCACAAGCTGATGAATTCAGAAACATCACTCAGGGTCCACCAGCTCCTTTCCAGCCATAATCGAAGGTAAGGCTCAAGGGCAAACCCAGAGAGCCCCCCTCCCCCACGTTCACCTTAGACTGGGCACTGTTCAGCCTCGGCCCTTAGGCTGTGCCCAGCAGGACAGGCCAGAATGTTGGGTAGCTCTGCTGAGGGCGATGGGCATGCGGCCAGGAGCCCCCTTCAGCCCGCACGGGGACCCACCACAGACCCAAAGGAGAAAGCAGAACCCAGGTACTAAACATGAGTCTTTATTGGCCCCGGCTACTTGAGGGGGATGAACCGGGAGGAGTGGGTGGCGCCGATGCCAGGCCGGCCGTGCTTCACCGGCTTGTAGGTGATGGAGAACTCGCCCAGGTAGTGGCCGATCATCTCTGGCTGCGGGGGAGAGGAAGCAGGGCCAGGTGAGCGCAGCCTCGGCACAGAGGGGTCCGCCGCCTCACCAGCACCCCGCTCACCTTGATCTCCACCTGGTTGAAGGTCTTGCCGTTGTACACGCCCACCATGCTGCCCACCATCTCGGGCAGGATGATCATGTCCCTCAGGTGCGTCTTCACCACCTCGGGCTTCTCCATGGGCGGAGCCTCCTTCTTGGCCTTCCTCAAGCGCTTGAGGAGGGAGTGCTGCTTCCGCCGCAGGCCCCGGTTCAGGCGCCGCCTCTGGCGGGCGCTGTACAGCTGCATCAGCTGTTCGCTGTAGGGGAGAAGTTGCAGGGTGCCGAAAGTCCGCACCACCCCAGAACAGGAGGCTGCATGGCGGCCCTAATCCTCACATCCACAAAGCTGCCGGGAGCAGGGGCTCGGGGACAGGCCAGCGGCCAGGCCCATAGCCCTCTACAGTGGATCCCGCAAGCTCAGCCAGCCATCACCCCG